GGACCAAGGCATCAACCCTGACATTATCATGAACCCCCACGGTTTCCCCTCTCGAATGACAGTCGGAAAGATGCTGGAGCTGGTCGCTGGTAAAGCAGGTGTTCTGTCCGGCCAACACGGCTACGGTACTTGTTTCGGCGGCAGTCCCGTCGAAGAAATGTCCCAGATCCTGATTGAAAAAGGTTTCAGTTATGGTGGCAAGGACTATCTCACTTCCGGTATCACCGGTGAGGCTCTGCCTTTCTACGTCTTCACTGGTCCCATTTACTACCAGAAACTGAAGCACATGGTTCAAGATAAGATGCACTCACGTGCCAAGGGTCCCACTGCTACTCTTACTCGCCAGCCTACCGAGGGTCGTTCACGTAACGGAGGTCTGCGTCTCGGTGAGATGGAACGTGATTGTTTGATTGCGTACGGTACTAGTCAACTGCTGTTGGAGCGTCTGATGATTTCGTCTGATCGCCACGAGGTGGATGTGTGCGAACAGTGTGGTTTCATGGGCTATTTGAACTGGTGTCCTGGCTGCAAGTCGTCTCGTTCCGTTGTGAAGATGGTTATTCCCTATGCTGCCAAACTTCTCATTCAGGAATTGATGAGTATGAACGTTACGGCTCGTCTGAAGCTTGATGATGAGTTCCCTGAGATGAAGGGACGTTAAGCTCTGGACTTGGCTTTGGGTCGATTGGAGTTTGGGATAATCAAAATGGGACATGTGCATACTTGGTCTTACGAATGAATGGCATAGCGCGGCGATCTAATATCATCTTTACCTACTTATTCTTTTCTGTAGCACGTAGCTGGAGCTTCAACCACAGCACATTGGATACAGAACCAGCTCGGCAGTAATCCTCATAAAAACAGAATCTCATTTTAAAAAACAAGCGGAGGAAAAGAAAAGTAAAAGAAATCACAGCACACTAGAGCATCAAAATATTCGACTCAAAAGCCACATGCTGATAGCGAGTAAACTCTCCCATCTCCTGCAAAAGCTTGACCCTTGTATCCAAAGCCTCCTCCAGACTCATCGGCATATTACCCTTGGATTTCATATTATCAAGCGCCACCTTTTGCATAGCTTCCTTGAGCCCTGCCCCAGTCTCTGGCACCTCCTTAGTCCAATCTAGACGCTGCGGCGGGATATTGGCCGTGGAGATGACACGGATATTAGGATCGACAAGGAAAAACGCCATGGCCCGCGCGCACCCAGGCTTAGTCTTGTCCTTTAGCTCGAAGCGCGTGAACTTGTGTTGTATAGTGCTCGGGTACATGACCGTTCGGCCTACTTTGGCGCGGATGGAACCTGGGTATTGGATGGCCGGTTCACCGTTTTCCAAACCAAAGACTTGCTTCAGCCAGATGAAGTCATTTGGCTCATGCTCGATTTCTGCGAGCGTGTCGGATTCTACCATGGTGCGGAATTCCATGTACGGGTCTAGTACGTTGTCGTGGGAATATGGTATGAATGCTGCGGCGCAGATGTGCTCGTTCTGGTTTATATCTTATTATTATCAAATAATGTGGTGCTCCTGTAGCTTTCGAACTCACCATCGTGCCCTCGACATGCCAGTCCGTCTCGAAACACGGATCCTCCGGAGTTAGATCAATGCCCAACAGACGTGTGATTACCTGCAGTCCACGTTCCTTGTAGTCCCCGTTGAGATCAACACCTCGTTCAATCCGAACGGCACTGGGCAGGTCCTTGGGCAGTTTGTCCATCAACCAGGGTGGGACTGCCCAGGGAATGAACTTGCCTGCGTCAGGTTGGATGGCACGGTAGTTCTCCATTCTCCATTTCTCCATGCGCTCATCAAACTCACTAATCGCCTCTTTTGGATGTATCTGAGGTGCCTGGGAAGTAGCTTCCTTCGGGACTGGGTAATACTCCGCCTTGTGGTATTCGATTCGGGCACGGGAATGGAGCATGTCCTTGAGGGGAGTCAAAGTGGCGTTCCACTGTGGAACGATACAATTGAAAATCTTCTCAATGAGCTTGTAGACGTTTCGATATTTGACTGGGTGCAGGTTGTTGATGTATGTGGCTATGTGCCATTGGCCATCCTCGCGGAGTTCCCAGTCGGAAGGAAGGACCTGGTAATTTCGGCTGTAGGGCCGTACCTTGATATCTGCCCGAGCCAAGACACGCCAGGTAATGTCTTCTCTAGTTATTCCAGTCTCTTTTGGGATTGGGATCACTTCACCCTGGCCGGCGCACTTGAGGGCATCATCGACCCCAATGATCCTGTCGGTGAGAATGCGGGTCGTGCCGTAAACGAGCGGATACAATGCCATGGAAATGAGATCTCGCTCTTTGCCTAGTACTCCTGGATAGTAGTACTGCAATTCTTTCTTATCGAACTCTAGCACCTCGAACTGGGCTCTCATATCGCGTAAGAGCGACTCAGACAGGTTTGTGTCGGACTTGGTGACATCGCCGTTGTACAGGGCGACTACATCCGTGGTCTCGTAGATCATAGCTTTAAATTGAAGCTCCTCAATCATCCATTCAGCCATGTTGAGCGTAATGTCTTTGCCACTGTTCATGGCGGCCTTTTTCCACTTCTCTTGTGTCTCGGGCTCAAAAACCTAAAACGATTTCAGCGGAAAGATCAGTCTCGGTTGTTTTGGGACCACTGACCTTTTTCCACCACTCAGGAATATCAGTCAGGTGCTCCATGAACTCTACCATATCTATCTCGCGGAGGGTCAAGACGGGCATGCTAGGAGAAATTTCAGCATTGAGCACCTCTCGGGTCTTGGAGATTTTGCACTTACTCCACGTATCCTGCTTGGATATCTCTATCATCCGCCGCCGATGGAAACATACTCCGACTTTCAACGCCGTAGATATTTTTCTCGAACGGAGCAAAGTCCAGCGGCCGGTTGAATCCCGGAAGAGCGAAACGACAGTCTTTCTGTGCCTTGGCGTTGAGGAAATTCGCCTCGCTGGCCTGGTGTTGGAACATTGTTGCGTTTAGTCAAGAACGGTAGGTCAAGGCAATGTCCTCAAGAGTGATATGGTGAGATTATCTATCTTGCTCGGTCAGAACAACACAGTGCCAACGAAGGGCGCCAACCCCTACTTTAACGAGGTATATTTTTGCGATGGCCTGCACAATATCAGACACAAGCATGAGAATAAGTGAGATATGATGATTAAAATGGGAGAAGACCGAAGCAAATAAAGCTGGGAACACTTGAAACGAGGGCCAAAACAATGATGCAGGGGTGTCGTCTTATTCCTGGGTATTATCGCAATGGCCGATGCCCTCCGGAGGGAGGTGCGGAACTTGGCTCCGGGCCTGCCCTTTAGCTGTAACAATTGGCGTATGCCCAGGTGATCTTGGAGAATCAGTCATAGTGATTCAACCCCCTGACCATGGAATTGCGAAACTTTGCTGTTAAAATTGACCTTCAAAGGTTCGCGGAAACAAATTCCTCTAGGGCTGTTCCTTGCGCCTATATAGTGACGGGCGACTTGAAGGCAAAAATATATTTATGTATGGAGGCAATCAGATATACATGGTCATCGCACAGCATGAGGTCTATCATGTAACATACAGTCTTCCAGAGGCCAAAGCAAAACCCCAAAGGCAAAGAGAAAAGAAATCGGGAATCACACCGACGCCAAGGCTCCCAAGTACTCTCTAACAATGCCCCAATACCGATCGGGCTCGGCTCTCATATGTCCAACATGAGGGGAGTTCTTGAACAATTCACGGCGCACTGCCCAACCCTCAGCCTCGGTGTTCACAGCGTGAGATTCCACGTCGCGGCAGTCCACTAAATCATCCGTATCTGAGTAGATATAGCAACGACTGAGAGTCCCACTCGGATTAGCCGCTTGCACCAAAGATGTATCATTGATGAGCTTCCGGGCAAGGGAGATAGGATCCGGAAACATGGGAAAGGAATGGATCAACTTGAAGAGAACTAGGAAAGCAAAAAGCAAGCCTTTGCCAAGCAGCCGCAAGATCCACATCCTCGGAAGCGCAAAGGAGAAAGCCTTGAGTCCCGCTCGTAGGCTCGGACTGCCCGGTGCGCTATCTATGATCATTCCCGACATGGGCAATGGAGTCCCTGTCGCATTCTTCCAGGCCTGCAATAGGTTTGTTGTACTTGACATGCCTCCATTTGAGAAGAAGTGCACAAAAACTGGATTCTCAGGGGTCACTAGACCGCGCATTGCTTCCACGGCTGGGGCGACGCGGGCTCTCTGGGTCTGGGTCCCCAGGTGCCATATGAAGTCATTTGATGAGCTTCTGACGAAGATAATTCGCGCTGATGGTACTAGTCGTCTGTACTCGACGACATATTTTGCTAGGGCGCGTGGGGGTGCATTCATCCAAAAAGCAAGGAATATCACTGGCCGATCTGCCTTCTCGCTTGGGTTGGGCGGGTCTTGGAGATAGACTGACGGGGCCAGTCTGACAAATGCCGCCAAAGGGGGTTCAGCCGTTGTGGCCATGATGCAACCCGAGTACCTGGTCTAAGATCAATAATGTAGTCGAGCTGCAGGCGCGTGGACGGCGATCCTCGGCTTGCCAAGAGCTGTGCGCACTAGCCAAAACTATACGATTCCATTTCTGACCACGAGCATGACACATGGCATACCTGCTAGTTGAATTTATGTGTAGGCATATGTATAAGACATGTTTGCTTGCTTTTGAAGGACATGAGAAAATACTCAACCCTTAGGAGTGTTGCAACATTCCCCGATATCCCGACATTCGGAATGAAAAGGACTGCAAAAGAATACGGATGGCTTGAAAACCAAGATGAGAACGCGGAGAATGGAACTGCCCCCGAAATATATAAAGACAGTGAGATTTATTGCAAGGCCTTTTATGTATTCAAGCGAAAGTAAACAACTCCCCAAACGCCACGTTGAACCTTGCTATGCCCCCGAAGGAAATCCCGCTGCAGAATCTAGAGATTTCCACTATCTAAAAGCCCAGGAGAATCATGAAAGCGTAGGTTGAAAGAGATCATTGCAGACATTAGCGCTTCCCCAAAGTTCGACCACCACCGTCGGACTTTTTAGTGTTTTCCTTGCTTTTTTGGCCTTCAGCCTCACTTCCCGATGGGGTAGCAGAGTCGGACAAATCCTTTCGCTTCCCACGCAAAGTTTGTCCAATTCCTTGGAACTTGGGCTGGTCATCTGGGACAACTAGGCCATTCTCATCACGGGGTTTGACGGGTTTGATTGCATACCCAAAGAAGAGCTGATTAGGCGGGAGTCGAAGTGGTTGCGGGCCGTTAGTTCTTCGGCTTGGAGGTGGATGTGAGGAACTTGAGGCACCGGGGGTAGGAGTGGAAGGGTTAGGCGTCGGAGTCTTACTGCCCTTCTTAGCGTTCAGACGCTGTCCCCCAGACAAAAAGTTGGATGATGCCGCACGGGCACCTGTGGCAGCATCGGTGGCCTCGGGGGCAATGGCGGGGTAGTTGATCGATTGTGCCATGCTGCCATGGGGGTGCAATAGTCCACCAGCTGGAATTTTTCCACCGCTAATGACGCTACCAGGTGTGCTGGTTCCGCTAGTCCGCTGTGGTTCTTCAAATCCAACCGGAGCGGCGAAATCAACCTCCAAGTCGGTCTCTAGAACGGACACAGCATTCTTCGTCCCGGAAGGTTTTGTTTCCAGCACTGCCATCTCATATACTTGATCGTTGTATGAAAAAGTGAAGACGTCGCCTTTGGAAAGACATGAGAAATTCCGGAAGGCGTTTTCTAGCACGGCTTTGGGGTCACTGATATCGAGGAAGGAGGTTGACTGTGCTTGAAGTTTGATGAACTGGCCGGGAGGGAGGTCTGTCGATTTGATTTGAAGAAGGTCGCCAGGTTCCAGTAGTAATGTTTGCATCAGCTGTAGAGAACCGAGTCTTAGTACAGTCACAACACATTGAGGAGTCTGTCTTTCTCACCCAGAATGGTAAATATATCTTTCCTTCTTCAGCAATGAACTCAAGGACACCGGCATGTGTCATCCTCTCTTTCGCACCATTGTGAAGCTCGAACAACATCGGATAGGTAATGTGAAGTCGGGTAAGCTTGTCTAATGCGCTGGGAGGCATGATGACCTTGCCGCCATGGTTCACATTTTCTCTTTCAGGACCAGGAAGCATCGCCACTGGATAACAGCGATAGTATTCATCGAAGCGACGGGACGTAGCACCCGGGCGCGCCATTCCGGCACCTAGGACTCCATCCATGGGGTCGTCGGACCAGTAACCAGGTCGGTACTAAAGCTGTTAGTTAGGAGGGTGAAGATTAAGAGAACGGAGTGAAGAGTTGAAATCGACTCACCATCTCAAGTTCTTGGAGTTCAAATGACTAAAGATGGGTAAAGAGAAAGTTGTTATTGAGATCGGGTTTATTTGAGGTACGATATGCCGCTCTCTGGATCGCCATCAGTGACGCAGCTCGCTCCGTTATGATTTTCCGCTCCGACCCCGGACAAGGAAATCAGCTCTCTCCTAGTTAATTTACCCTTCAATTCCGCGAAACATTATCTTTTTCATTTGTTTTCAACTGAAACCCCCAATCAAAGAGCCATGTCGAGCTCCTTGCCACGCCCCAAGCGCGCAGGCGAAGATTTCGCCAGTACCCACTACAATGACGACGGCGAGGATTCAGAGCACAAGAAGCCCCGCTTCGACCTTCGCAACCCCTCCGCTCTTGCAGCTGATGCGCCTGAAGAGGACGCAGTACTCGATGCCGATGAGATTGGCAGACGTGGCCAGAGAATAAGACGCAAGGCGGTAAATCTCGAGGGTTACGATTCGGACAGCGAGAACGAGGGGTTTTCCGCGCGCACAGAAGATAAACCCAAGCGCCAACAAGCCAAGGAAGACACGGAAGACGATGACATGTTTGCCGAACTACAAGAAGACTTTGGCGAAGAGGAAGTCGACGGCGACGAGGTTATAAACAAGAACAAGAAGTCCGTTCGCTTCCTACGAGACGATGAGATCGAGGGCCAAGTCGCTTCTTCAAAAGGCGGAGGAGCGCTACATGTCGATCTGAGCAAGGGTGCAGCTGAAATTGTTGAGGAGGAAGATGGAAGTGATAGTGAGGTTGGGGAAGAGGAGCGCGCCCGAGTCGATGAAGAGGTGGACGAGGAACTTGGCGCGGGTGGGAAGAAAAAGCACGCACCCCTACTGGATGCTTTCAACATGCGAACGGAACAAGAGGAGGGTCGATTTGACGACCAAGGCAACTACGTCCGCAAAGCAATAGACCCCGATGCGGCCTACGACTCGTGGTTGGAGGGTGTTTCCAAGAAGGATATAAAGAAGGCCAAAGAGGCCGCCGAGCAACGCGACGCAGAGCGCAAAGAGAAGGACCGAATGGACGACAGCATTTTGACAGCGGATGCCCTGAAGACGATCATCATCCACCTCGAACGCGGCGAAACAATACTCGAGGCACTGGCCCGACTGGGCAAAGGCCTTCGCCGAAAGCCTAAGTGGCAAAACAAGAAAAACAAGAAGAACGCTGTCGAGGATATTGAGATGACGGATGAGGACCCCAACGAGGTGGCCCGGAAGAAGGCAATTGATTCTATTACTGGCGCCGCCGATATCTTAATGGGCCGCGGCCAAATAGATATCTACGATACAGAGCGCGAAATGCTCACCCGGCAGTACCGCAACGACACGGGTGAGGACTGGATTGACCCTCCTGCAAACGAAGTGACTGAGCAAGGTCCTGCCATGTGGGAATATCGGTGGTCTGACGCTAGAGATGGAGGGGATGCCCATGGGCCATATGATAGCGCAATGATGGACTCATGGAAGAATGCGGGCTACTTTGGCGAAGGCGTTGAGTTCCGTAAGGTTGGAGATTCAGGGCCGTGGAGCGGCACTGTCAATTTCTTGTAACATAATCCCTCCATATCAGCTACGATATTACTTTGGCTACACAAAGTACCATTGATGAATGAAATATTAATATCAGATCCTCCAGAACAGAGGACTGCAATTGAATCTCAAAAGGCCAAAATCACCTCAACAAGCGCCAGTCCTATCATACATCGTTTGATGCGACAAAAAGAAATAAAAATCAAGATCCAGTGTAGTTTTTTCGACCCGCTTGACTGCCCACCGAAAAGCCCAGTAAAACATGCAACCTAATTTAAGAAAGCTCCATTGCATCGCCATTGGCAGTAGCAGTGAAGCTAACGGTACCTTGGTCACCAATGAAGCGCTGTTCATATTGATTGACGAACTTCACACTCCGAGCAGGGTCGTAGAACAATCGGAAGCTGCGCTGGACGTCATCAACACTGACCTCCTTCGCCTTGCGTTTTTGACTCAAGAGGTGCGAAGTAGTGATAATGTTGCTGGCATAACGAAGATTCGACTCCTGACCAATTTTGGTGAGAAGGGCGAGAGCATCAGGCGAAAGGTCGATTTCTTCTTCCTGCGCCCGGATGGCGAGGATTTGACGGATCTCGTCACCAGAGTACATCTGTGTGCTGACAATAACAACCCGATCGAGGAAGTCAAGGGGTAGGCCGTGGGGAGAAGTGTAGGTAGTTCCGCGGATGCGTGCCTGGCCGCGATTGCTAGCCATGATGACGATAGGGGCCAACTCAGCCTCAAGGGCACGGTTGATATAGGAGTAACACTCAATATCGAGCATGTGAACCTCGTCAATGAACAGAACACCAGGAATAATCTCTGCCTTGCCCTCTTCCTTCCATTCAGCCACCTTGGTATTGATCTGGTCCCGAACCTCACTCCGAATCTCGCCCGTATCGCCGGAGAAGAGGGCCAGGAAGCCTTGTGAACGCGAGTTAATGACATCGATCTCGTGGAGGCTGACAGTGTGGACGATCTCCTTGCGAACTTGAAGCTCGCCTTCGGGGCATTGGACAAACTTGGTATCGGCGCCCATGGCGTCGTAGTCTCGAGAGCGTGCGTATGAGCGACCGAGCTTGGTGATCTTGCCGGAAGACTTATCAATCGAGATCACATCGCCTGCCATTACTCGTTCCTTGGTCATCGAATCAATCATCTTGGTTCCCATGTCGTAAATCGTTTCCATGTCCGTGGTCTTGATTGTGAGCTTTCCTTGTTTGTTGCCCTGCAGGTAGTCAGTATTGACTGTCATTGATTTGTTTTGTATGAAGAATCCACTCACGCCAGTAACACTCCGGTCGATTTGAATCTCCACAACTTCACCCTCAATGATTTCACTCTCTTCCTTAATGCGCACACCGATGGACTTCCGGAATGCCTGGGTCAGGGCTTCTGTCTTCGACATCTCCATTGAGAAAATTTCAGAAGCAGCAAGCATGGTGAAAGGTACGTCGGGACCGAGAGATTGTGCCATTCCCATTGCAATTGCTGTCTTTCCAGTGCTAGGAGGTCCTGCGATCAGAACGGCGCGACCGGCAATCTTGCCTTCCCTCACCATCTGCAAAATCACTGCGGCGGCCTTCCGGGCCTTTTCCTGACCCACAAGGCCTTGAGATGATGTCCGAGGCTGAAGAGTGTCTGCATCGACACCGAGGCCTCTGATATGGGAATGGGCGGCGATGAGGTTCAGTCCCCGGAGCTCCTTGCCCTCTGCGATAGTCGAGATTGGCTGTTTTAGTGTCAGCAACCGTGGAAATATGATAGAAGTATTGTAACTTACTACAGCCATGTTTGGAAAATTCCAGACGGAAATGTATTTTGGACTGGAAGATTATGTTGGTAAAATGCGCCAGAGCTCTAGAAAAGCAAAAGAAGAGAGAGAGCCAGGGCAGATCGCAGATCGGAGTGCTGCGTCACCGCCCGGCAGAATAATGCCTCAAAGAAACGGGAACCCGTTTGATATCATTTCCACTTGCCGTATCTGCGTCACTTGTACCAATTTCACAAATTTGGTGCTCGTCGCGTCTTGATCTGACTTGTGCAGCTCCACTGATTACCCCAAGGAGAACTAACTAGGCATTTGCAACAATACCCATACCTACACGCACCATACTTCACTGACGAGTTTTCGCGTGGTGAGCGCGTTCCGCACTTTTGCAGCAAACCCCTAATACCTTTCACGAGCTCATCGTACACCGAGCAAGCAAAATTGTGCCTTAAGTGTTACATTCTAGGACTTTGGCGCACACTGCATCACTTGAGTCGACCTCCCAGGCATCGCATCAGTTCTGTTGCGAATACGATGAGTATTTTGCGATACATTCATTTCAGGGAATATGGCTAGCAGAATGGATGTTGAATCTTCCACCACAAATCTCCCCAAGCGACTCTCTGGCCGATTCCCATCAGGGACACCCCTGACCCCGACCACGACCAAGGCGCAAGATCCTCGGCTTGCCGGCACTGTTAGGCAATCAATTGATCCTCAATCGTCAAACACGCAACAAGCACACCCTATCCTTCCCAAAAAACCTGCCTTCATCAAGAGACCTCTTACAAACCCGCATCCACAAGTGCCTGCACAACTGGCTCCACTCTCAATCCCTAACAGCGCCCCGGGCCCTAGGTCCACAGAAAGCCAAAGTGCGCCTAATCAGCAAAGTGCATCGTTCATCTCAGATTTGGTCAATTCATTGATCAAAGTGAACAAGGGCGAGGAAGAGAAAGAGAGACTCCAAAAGGAAATAGCTTCTATCAACAAAAACCTACAGAGGGCGAAGCAATCTCAACAATTTCCCAGCGTCATCGCTCTCTTTCAGCAGCAGCTGGACGTGGCCAAAGATGAACTGGCCAATCGTGTCAAATCGATCGTGCAGCATCGATCACTCTCCAAGCAGGCGCAAGATAATTTCAACTCAACATTGTCGCAGTCGAAGCTTCGGCCTCAGCTCGAAAACATACCCGAGAGGGTCGCGAGTCTAGAGGACACAGTCAAAGGGATGGGGCAACGTCCTGAACCAACCGCCGGCGGTGAGAGTCTCGAAATCGGATCAGTTCAAAAGGACATGCAAGGCCAAGATATCGCCCAACTCAGAGAAAACCTACGCGAAATGCAGCATGCCATCAACAACCCCAATGGATTTGCGGAGGCACTGGATTACATGAAGAAAATTGCGAACTCAGTCGGTCATCAATCCAAAAAGATTGGCCAATTCACAACACAAATGTCACAGCTTGAGGATGAAGTGAAAGATGTCGACAAGAAGCTTGATGACAGGGTTGCTACCGTCAAGAAGATGGTGGACACCATCAAGGAAGAACTGAAAATTTCCAACGAGCAGCTTGAGACCAACATCTCTGAAGCTGGTTGCAAATTGAAAACTACGAATGAACAGGTTCAGGTCAAGCTTTCCTCCATTGAAAGCGATCTCAGATCCCTCAATAATAAGCGACGTGATCTGAATAATCGCGCCTCGACTCAAGTTTCACAAATTGAAACTGACTTGGAAGCTCAGAGGAAGCAGGCCACGGAGCAGATTACCGCCCAAGAAAACCTTGTGGCCTCACTCAGAACCCAGCAACAAAACATTGACAACGGCGGCCGACTCTCATCAGAAGGAACACCAACTATCCATAACGGGGTGCTTACAAGAGTAGCGTCTCTGGAAAATAAAATTCAGAGTCACGCAGATTTTCTTAACAATATTAAGAAACTCCATAAGGAGGTGGATCTCCTCCGTCTGTCCGAGTTGGCTGTCCTCCGCCAGAACCAAGAGTCGAGTCAAGCAACACTGGAAGCAAGACACAATGAGACTTTGCAAAAAATGGAGGACCTGGCTACAAAATCCAAGCAAACGACCAAGAATCAGACGGACATCACCGCCGAGTTTCATCAACTTCGGTCGTCCTTGCCAGCGACCTTGGAGCGGTTCCGAACCCATCTTCAAAATGGGCTAGATAGATTCGAAAATCGCCTTGCTCCAGTCTCCGACCTTACTCGGGCTTTAACAAAGTGCGAGGGAAAATTGGAGACTCATGTCACGGCCATTCGATCACTAGAACAACGATACAACAATATCACCACAGGCGACTTGGTGGATCGCATGGCGGGTACCATGCAGAAAATGTACCCCTCTGTTGATCTACTGAGTCGACAATTGACGGCCCACCGAACTGAAGTTGAAGGCAGGATTTCTGCGCTCAAGACAGCCGCAGACACGTTCAAAGCGGAGACAGAGACGTTCAAAGCGGACACAGAGATGTTCAAGGCAGATACGAACCAATTCAAGGCAGATACAGTAAAGGCTCAGGCAGACGCACAAAATGCCCAGGCCAGCGCAGAGAGGTCTCAAGCAGCACAGGTGTCACCAGAGCAGCTCCAGACTTTAACTCAGTTGCCGACTTTGCTTCAACAGGTCAAAGACCTCTCTGATAAGCTTGTACCGATTGAGAGTCTCCTCCGCGAGCATAGTGTCGAGTTGCAGAAAAACCTTGAACTGCGGAGTGAATTACAAAATAGGATCACGGTTCAAGACGACACGATCGGAGGCATTGCTCAAAAGGCCGATGAGCGGGTGGAAGAACTCGAAACCCTCACCAAGTCCACGGAACGGATCGATCCATTGATCAAGGAGGTCAATGTCCAAATCTCGCAAATCCAAGAGATTCGACAAAAGGTCGACGAGTTAACCCAAGCTGCGGAGAGCAACGCTACCACATTGACAGATCTTGATGACCTCCAGAGACGGCTGAAAGGCTTAGAAGATCGGAAAAAAGCTGAAGATGCAGCTCTTGACGCACTCCGGAAAAGCCTGAAAATTTGCGAAGACCGAAGCAAACCGGATGATGCAGGTCTTGACGCACTTCGGAAACAGATTCAAGACTTGGAAGATCGGACCGCAACCGAAGATAACGATTTCGGCAAACTTCAGGGACAGCTGCAAGCTCTTGAAGATCGGAGACCACCGGTATCACTGGAGCAATTCAATGGCCTAAGAGAGGATGTGAATATGTACATCAAACGTCTGAGGAATGCCGAAGACACTTTCAAGGCACTTGGAAAAGAAGTAATGGATTTCAATGCCAAAGAAGCAACGGATTCCGATACTCTCGATAAACCAATGGAGCAGCGCATCGATGGGCAGGAAACTCCTCAGTCCCAACCAAACGGACGTGCTCTTACCCCAAGGCCTCGCGGAACACCAAAAACAGTCGCCAGGGGGCCTAGTCTTGGTGCATACCAGCCAATGCAGCCCGACAAGAAGGGACAGGACGACAATTCCATAGTAAGCGGTTCCAAGTCAAAGAACTCTGTGATGCAGGCTCGACAGCCATCGCAGATACCCACTGGCCCTAGCAGCAGTTATCCATCGATGTTTACTGGCAAATCTGCCGAACCCCGTCAGGTCCAAAATCTGAAAGGAAAGCGACGGGTGTCCTCTGTAATAGACTCCGATGAAGAGAGGAACACAACTGAATCCTCTTCGGTAGTCGGGTCTTTGCCGGCTCCTAGATCTTCTGCCTCGGCACCTTTCAATCAGGGGTCTAGCAAAAAAGAAAAGAAGAGAGCAAAGAAGAGATCGGAACAGGCCGAAGAGAATTCCAAGGCTTTAAATAGACCGGCCAAGAAGCGAAAGCGAAGCAAACAGGATGAGTGAGCTCGTTCAAGCTTGATCTTGTGGATCTCGTATTCTCCATATCTGTCTGTCGCCTTGCGTCTCTTCTTCACCCTCCGTCTAGAATTACGACTTGCTATGTGAATCATCGTCTACGCGAGCAGCTTTAGAGGAAGCATTATTAGATACGTCTTCGTCACTCGGTAGGCTCAAAGCCTGACCGGCGATTTGCTACCTATCCATTCAAATCGATATTACTCAGCATACCACCGTGTGAATTATTATTGTACATGGAATTCCCTATACACATACGTCTAATTTATAAAATCACGTGACCTATAGTTAACCCCAATTATGTCGACTCTAAAAACTTGACGACCGCTATTATCAACGTGTAAGCATAATACACTATTAATTCTTGTCGAGAAGATGAAATTACCTTGGCGGAACGCTTCGGGGTTCTCAGAAATAAGCCAGTGACCCGCTTCGACGTCCACAATTTGCGCGTTGGGGAAGAACTTCTTGATGGCCGGCACAGTGTCGTCCGAAACATACCTAGACCTAGTGCCACGAACAAAGAGCGCCGGGCCGTTGTATTGGAGGTTATCAGATTCCTTGAAAGGGAAATCGGCCATATGATCCAACGAACCGCCGATGACAGATAGCGGCACTCGGAACTTAAGCGTGTTATCTTCCTCTGAGCGTATCAAGTTGGTAAGAAGGAATTGGCGGATTGGAAGAGACTGGGCAGTGTCAGTATGCCAAACATTTACCGAAGGGTGCTAGGCTCATGGCCACCCTGTCTCCCCTTATCGTCAAAAAGATCAACACCTTACCTCTTCATAATCCTCGAGAATTTTGTTGGCGTCGGATTGCTTCGATACCTTAGCGGCTTCGATTTTCTGCATGCCCCGAACATACTTGGGGAAATCACTCTTCAGAGCTGCATTCACCGGTGCGTTGTCAACGGGGATCAAAGCTGACACGAGTTCGGGGGCGCACAGTGCTACTGCCATTGCAGCTTTGGCACCCCTTCGCCAATTATTAGTATGATAAGAACGCAAAATATGAGCCCTTCGTGTGCTCGAGTGCACTCAGAATGGGAAGCATGATCACATACATGGAATGTCCGATTAGAACGCATTTGTCCAGTTTCTGCTGTTTGATGAATTTCTGCACATCCTCCGCCATAGCACCATAGTTGTGCTCAGAAGCATGGAAAGAATGGCCATGGTTACGCAGATCCTGTTAGATTTGTTAAGCATTCTCGAATCACTTTTTTTTCATGTCTATCCAAGGAAAAGGGGAAACTTACCAGTGCAAAGATCTGACATTTTAGATCCCGTGCCAGAGCTCTGAGAGACATGTAAGAACATGGGTTTTAATTTAGATATCTGAGCACAAAACATACTTGCCAATACTCCTGTTGTTTTGCTTTGATCCAAATAGTCCGTGTAGAATCAGGATGGGGTCTCGGATAGCTTGGCCGTTTTCCGGGCCAAAGACTTGATATGCCAGCTCGGACCGCAGCATGCGGGCTGTGGAGAAGGCCCGGAGGCCTGAAGTACCGCGTGTAACCGTCCGGAGAGAGAACATGTTCCGAATATTAGATTTGGAATGCCAACCTTGGAAGTATCAAGAGTTGGGTGACGATCGGGAACCTTGGAAATACCTACCCGCCAACCGGTTGCTGACTAAGCGAGCTTGATGGCTCCGGGGGTGACCTAGTGCTTTCCTGAGGTTGGGGCCTACTTAAGGAAGCACCCGCCCGACCTAGGCATTAATCAACATTTTTAGGCCCCTAAACAAGATGACTTTTGCTTAGGCTTCCGCAGAACCCATTTTAGTTCTAGGTCGAAAGCACCTAATCTAGACCTAACCCAGACCTAGTACTAGGTTACCTAGTCCGACCTGGACCTATTATAACTAGGTCGAAGGGTCAGACCTAAAACCTAACCTAGACTAGGTTAGGTCTAGGATAGGTCTGGGTTTTACTGGGTCCTACCGAAGACTACTTTTGCTTATGGCAAAATTGTTTACCAAAAGTCGTCCCTTGGTCTATATTATCACAGCTAACTAACTGGTGTGTTCTATTCCCGTGTCAGTATCGATACATCCCATTACTTTAACACAGCTACTAGTCGTATGTATCATCACTGGAGTGACGATCCATGGTAATGCGAACAAATAAACATCAGAGCCTAAGAGGGCCTCGAGAATTTGGCCGGTGTCACTTCTGTTATTCTCATGTCAATATCAACTTTGGTTCCAAGGTAGATACAGGCAGTGTGAGGAGATGTGACCACACTGGCAGAAGTTGAAAGAGGTAGAGAGGTACCCAAAGAATGTAGGTCTAGCGGGATATAGTTACTAAATGGGGGAACCTAGGAACCTCCAAAACCCCCGGGGCCACCGCAGCCCACCGCTGATTAATCGATTTGGCGGACCTGAGGCCATACTGGTCTGTGCTGGCCGCCTAATTTTAGGCGCTTGAGCATCAAGACTTTCGGTTCTGGAAAAATCCTAACCTAAGCCATATATTGGAGTAGTTGTATAGAGATCGGGATGATATGATATTAGAATAAAATTAAAATTGATGTATAGCCTCGGTTCAATAAAGCCATCGCCTGAGATTAGCTGGTATTTACCGCAACTTTCAACGATATCCTGCTGCGTTACGCGTAGTGGCATATGCAGGGCCCCAATTGTTAGGGGGGATATGCGGCCGACGTCATCTCACCAAAGCTCAAGGACTCCCCCTCCAGGCCAACCCCTTGCTTCCTTGAATAACTTCTAATTTTCAACGATTGAATACAATAGCCTCCTCATCATGACCGATCAACCGAAACCGTATAAAATTTCCGTCCCTGATGAGGGTCTCCAAGACCTTCAGCAGCGTCTAGCACTTTCTAAATTCGCAACTCAGCTGGAGTCCTCCGAACAAGATCCTTGGGATTTTGGAACTCCAGTGAAAGAAGTGCAGCGACTCATAGAGTATTGGAAGGATGGCTTCGACTGGCGGAAGGCGGAAGCCAAGTTGAATGAGCTGCCCCAATATCAAACGCAGATCGAGGTAGATGGATTTGGTACTTTGGATATCCACTGTGAGTTCTATGTAATACAGATTCTCAAGGATTAGGTACTTACCGGATTCGCTCTGTAGATATTCACCAAATAAACACCAACAAGAACGCAATTCCACTGCTTTTTAGTCATGGATGTAAGTAGCGACCCCTCTTCTATCTCATTCATAGTTTTTACTATCGCAATACTGTCTCTGATCTACATATAGGGCCGGGATCATTCATTGAAGTCACAAAACTGCTACCTATGCTGAAAGGCGGCGATGACAGCCCCGCATTCCACGTTGTGGCGCCATCGCTGCCTAATTTCGGCTTCTCCTCGGGGGTGACTCGTCGCGGATTTTGCCTCGCGCAGTATGCCGAAGTGCTGCACAAGCTTATGATCAAACTCGGCTATGATCAGTATGGTATGATCCAAAAGGAATAAGAATATACCAGCCGCACTTGAAACTAACTTGGTTACACGCACAGTGACTCAGGGCGGAGATTGGGGGTTCTGGATTACTAGAACCATTGGTCTACTATACCCCGAGCACTGCCAAGCTTCTCATATCAACATGGTGCTGGCTCTGCCGCCTAAATTCACAGATAACCCATGGGCAGCCCTGCAACACGCATTGATGCCGTACAATGACCGGGAAAAGACAGGCCTCGAACGGAGTGAATGGTTCAAGCGAGAAGGCTTTGGTTACAACCAACTCCAAAGCACTAAGCCGCAGACCATTGGCGCAGCACTAGAAGATAGCCCTGTTGCCTTGTTAGCCTGGATTTACGAGAAGCTGCACGACTGGACAGACTCGTATCCCTGGACCGACGACGAGATCCTAACCTGGATATCCATCTACTGGTTTTCTGCAGCAGGACCTGCGGCTAGTGTCCGGATATACTATGAAACCGTGCATGCCGGAATGATCAAGGGGAAGTCCTATAGGCAGTTGGCTGCATACATCCCAAGTGTGAAGCTGGCAGTAGCGCACCTCCCTCGTGAAATTTCCATCATTCCTTGTTCTTGGGCTGCTGGCCTGGGTCCAGTTGTTCAACAAAAGGAGCATACCCGTGGAGGTCACTTTGCCGCTTGGGAGGTTCCCGAATTTATTGTCCAGGATTTGCAGGCAATGTATAGCAAGAATGGTCCTTGCTATGGGGCTGTTTCAGGCAAAGATGGATATTAGCTATGTTATGGCTACTTACCGCCATTTTGATTTGATATTTGGGCATGTATCCCAGATATTTCAGAGCCTATTGAGGTGCTAGCAGCAATGTGGAGGATAAATAGAGAATAAACTCACTTACGCTTTGACATGACAACCGAGAAAGAAATAGAAGAAGAAAGAGGAAAAGTTCACTGATACTAGTAAGAATTTGATATCTTCCCCTCAAAATTGCCTGCTCATAAAATCATCACCCCAAAACTGACCAACAAAGATAGAAGTATGCAGTGCAATGAGTGACTTATGACATTGGCACTACCAGTCACCTTCTCAAAGCTGACCAGAGACCCATTGTGACTCGACGCCCCTGTCAGAACCACCTGCGAGGAATTTGTTGCGTCCAAACGACCCGTGAATGTGAGCTCGAAAGTCACATTTACTTTTGTGTCGGTGTCCGGCCATTTTTGACCAGAATGCTCAAACCCAGCAACTGTAGCGCCAGAGAAATTCAGCTCAAGAGTTTCATTGGTCATAGACCCGTTGACGTGTGTTCCAGTAGGCCATCCAATAAGAATTTTGCCCAACTTGCTCTTTTCAGAGCATAAACTATCCGGAAGAGCAATCATCTGATCATAAAGACCGGCATTGTCATAGTGTGCTCCTTCCAAAAAGTCCCGTTTCCTATCTGTCCAGTTCTTGAGATCATAGGCGCCGTCAAACAGAATCTTGCTGCTGTTACCAGCTGCTTGAGTTATGTTTAATGCAACGGCGTCCATGGCCTGGACTGCATTTTCTGTGATCCAGTCCACAGTTGTGGTGAGCCGTATAAGATCCAGGTTCTCACACACGCTGTATGAATTGTCGATATCCGAGACGCGTGTGTTGCTCTTCCAGGCCTTGAACCCTAACGCGATGGGATTGACAGGTCCTGGTGGAGCAGGAGCTTTGGCAGCGACCCATGCAGCGCCTAGCATGCGCATGGATTGTTTGCCAACGGGACATGTGATCAAAGATGAACCAACGATGTCACCTTCTGTCAGATTTGTGGGTGGTGTTGTGATTGTGTATTTGAGACTGGCTTCGCCCTTGAAGAAGACACCATCCAAGTCGCTGTAAGCACTGGCATTACCACGGCGTGGGTCCCGATTGTATTTATCGTAGTGCGAAGGTTGAAGGTCGTCAAAGTCCAGGCGGTGGGAATCTGTGCACTTGGGCTTGCCCGAGGATGTCGTAGATGAAGAGGTCTGAGCACTATCTTCAGAATCGTTGTGGTCATTGCGGTGATTGTTGTTGTAGGTATTACTGTCGCTGCCGCTATCACTGCCACTGTCGCTGCCGCTGCCGCTGCTAGAGTCATCTCTTCGTGATAATACTCCTGTTGGAATGGCGAGCAAGGCGAGAATCGTGAAAAAGGGGTAACGAAGTAACATTTTACTTGAAATCGTGAATCGATTTATAGAGTATCAAAATAAAATTGTGAGCTCAATCACTCCGAATTGTTCGTCAAGAAGAAACTGGAAAATTGGAAAAGAATAAACAAAGCTCCTTCTGAGTATGGTTTCATGAACATGCGATTCCATGAAATTTATTCGTTTTGTGCCCTAATGAAGTGATAGTACGGGATCTACTCCGTATAGCTGGCTGACCCTGAATGCCAAGGTGCTAAGGGGCCGAAGCGGGACGGTGCTCGTGTTCACCAGGTGACTATTGGACAAGAAGTCATTAAGTGTCCATTTTTGGGGTAACAGCAACGTTAGGTTGTATTGATTATGTATCGGCTGAGTGCTTGAGCGTTTGGGATTGCCCGTCGTGGTTAGCTTGATGCACGATTTCCAGTGAGAAATGGCTATGCTGTCGATGTAAGCCACTCGAAGACATATAGTGTAGCTCTGCCAAGGGTGGCTGAGGAGGCTTAGCATCAGGTCTGTGGTCTCTGGTCTGTGACACGGATGGGATCTCACTGCTTTGGTGCTCAAGCTGTGCAAGGCCTTGTCCCCAAGCACGATCACCATCAATAATTGACTTCCATAAGTGCAACATCAAAAAAGAAATTCGGACGTTTATTGAGGCATGGATATATATATGTTTATATTTACAATGTCTAGCTGTCCAGCAGCACCGGCACCTTCTCAACTAGATATTCAACAATGGCATCGGGGCCACGCTCAACCTGCAAGCCCTGGGGAATGGCGTGAAGCTTGATATCTGGTCGAACAGAGCGGGCAATCTGATGGATCTGTTGGGCTTCCTCGGCGGACCACATGGAGGCGCTGAACTATTCATGACATTAATATATAATCCCATCTAGGGAATGCTCGGAAATCCCGAAGTTGGACTTACCAGAACCTCGGGGTTGTGCTGCTTGACCTTGGCCTCGACATCCTCGATTTCTGTACCAAGTTTTGTCAACCGAAATTCACTCTCAATGGTTCTCAATATGCTTACTTTCGCAGTTGTCGACGTGGACAATAGTGTACCGATCGCTCAGAGCCTCGGCAACGCGGCCGACGAGGCGCTTGGCGCGCTCGGGCGCGGTGTTAACAGTAACCAGGTGGAAGGGACCCTTAGGAGACATGACGAGATATGAATAATAATTCACAAAACGCGACCAAACGCGACAATCGCTGGGGTTTTTATTCTCCAAGCTGAAATCGGCCCTCCCACTTCCCCACATTGTGGGAGGCTGCCCCTCCGGCTTATACAGCGCCGGGGTAGACTTACTCCGCTATCGGTGTCCATAGCCCTTGATTATATATGGGGTTTCTGTTTGAAATCTATTTGTTTCCTCTTTTTACTCTCCAATTAATACAACTATGTCTAAAATCGCATCTACCTTTTCGCGTAAGAGCTATCGAATTGAGCCTAGATCCCAGACTGACAAGGAATAGGCCTGGTGCGCTTTGTGCCCAAGTCGAACCCCGCCAAGGTTCTGATCGGAGAGCCCGTCGATCCCAAGTTGGATGTCGGATTGGCTCTCTACCAGGGCAAGGATGTTGCCGTGCGCCCGTTCTCTGGTACTTCAGTCCTGAGTCCTGGTAAAGTGACCGAGACAACGGAGACCATCGCGCGCATTCTGTCCCCTTTGGCGCAAAGCGAGGTTGGAACTATTCGCTGTATTGGCTTGAATGTGAGTCTCCAATGACGACACAAACATTTAAGGGAAAGGGGTTTACTAATGGGCACTCTAGTATGCCTCCCACGCTAAGGAGATGGCTCTCCCAACCCCAGAAGTCCCGACCTTGTTTATGAAACCGGCCAGTTCTCTGGCGGATCCATGGCCTGCACCAACAGTTCTGCCTAAGATTACCCAGCAGGATAGCACTGGCGACTATGAGTCTGAGATGGTTATTGTCATTGGCCGTGATGCTAAGGATGTGTCTGAGTCCGAGGCCCTCGACTACGTTCTTGGATACACAGCTGCGAATGATGTTTCCAGCCGCACTTCTCAGATGAATCAAAGCCAGTGGTCTTTTTCAAAGGGCTTCGATGGCGCATGCCCTATTGGTATGTCTCTTCAAACTATATACTATTCAGAAGAATTTTGCGCTGACTCGACATCTACAGGCCCCGTGCTTGTTTCCGCCACCCTCATCCCTGATGCCAGCAAGCTCCAAATTCGCGGTCTTAAGAACGGCAGCGTAATGCAGAACTGCCCATTGACGTACGTTATATTTGCTTCGCGTCACTTCTGGTATACAATATAACACGAGCTAACCTTGAATTTTCCCGCAGTGACCTAATCTTCAGTGTCCCCCAGCTGATCAGCTTCCTCTCCCAAGGCACCACTCTGCCTGCCGGTACAATCATCTTGACCGGTACCCCACCCGGTGTCGGCGCAGCAAAGAACCCGAAGGAATTTATCAAGGCTGGCGATGAGTTCGCCGTTGAGCTGCTGCCGCACGTTGGAACGCTTATCAACAAGATCGAGCACCAGTAAAGAATTCAGTATACAAAATGATAGATGTGACTTCTTGAGGCAATAGCTCTCCATTTATAGATGCCTAATAATGCTTACAGTTGCTCTGGCAACTGTTGAATACTATGCATATTTCCGGCACATCCATGCATATGCTCCAAATCTCCTTAGATGCACCACACAATCAATCCAACCACTACAATATAATGAACTATCAAAGTCATCGGACTGGATATATTCACATCCTTGTCCCAAGCTATAAGGTAAGGGCAAGAAGCTTTGACCAATCACAGAGCTCAGCCGGATATAGAATCTTCCCTGCGCGGAGTAAGTGTCTCCCGCCACATCTCCCTGCAGTACGCAGCTGGTAACATTTCTTAGCCAAACTGCAAACCGAAATCTTCATCCGGGAGTGGTCTGACAGGGCCCGTGGGCTTCGTTGACCCGCGATGGCTCGATTTCAGCGCTACGGGCTTATACCGGGTGGTTGTCCCGAGTTATCCCCGTTGGGAGTGGTTTGCTTAAAAGACAGTCTGCGGCGTTTTTACTTCTAGGAAGAGCTTTTACTGGACCTCTTTACTGTTGTGTCGAACTTCTCCAACTTACTTCTCTCCATTTATTTGTATGAATGTTGCGGTTCCTCGCGCTATCAAAATTTGATGCCTCTATACACATCCCTACAGATCAACACTTTCTTGAAGAGAATACAACCGGTCTTCTTGATGCCTGTTGTGTACTGACCTCGGATAGTTTCTCTCTTCAATTGTCAAATCTATTTGAAGAATCATGCAATTCATGGGTCAGGCTATATACAGCCTGAGACCAGTTTGCCGTGTTCGATGCCGATGCCGACGCCGAGTCTAGTTTAACCGACGCGAACCCGAACCCGATCACTCTATCATACCACCCGATGCTTTAAAAGGAAACAATTATCACGAATGTCTGAACGCAAGACACGGAAATCCAAGTCGATTTCCATTCAAGTGCCTTTACTCCTTGCTACGCCAAATCTTACCCCGCCAGTGCAGGAAGATAGTGGGGATAACACTGACGAGCACAATCAGCGCCGACCCAATGCCCGCGCTCGGAGCAATACCGGCATTCTCGAACATGGGAGTAAACCTAAGCCGAGGTTAGCAAAGACACTGCGAAAAGAAATGAAGGAGAAAAAGAAGACATACCAGAAAGGGCCAATGAAACCCCAGATCTGTCGGACAAAGGTGATAAAGACACCGATGTTACCAGCTTCCTGGGGAAAGCAATCAACAGCATATGTGACCATCACCGTGGTGACAAGCTGGTTCCCGACAGCGGCAATAGCGGTGCCGATGATGGGCGAGACGCTCCAGTGTCCGCTGGGAGATTCCTGTGTGCAGACCAGGAAGATGATGACGCCAATTATGGTGAGTGCGAAACCGAAGTAGCTCAGCCACAAGCGGAATTCTGGCTCGGCCTTGCGGTCGATGCGTCGGCTACGTCGGCTCATCCAGAAGTCTGATAGCACGCCGCCCATTTGCTCGCCGATTACGGAACCTATGATCGCACCTAGGAACTGCATACCTAGCTGTTCAGAGTTGAGTTCGAACTTCTCTTGCAAGAGTTGGGGCACCTCGACGGTTGTGAGAACGCTGCCGAATAGGAACACCATTGCGTATGCACATGCCGGGATGAGGATTGATGGGTATCGAGCCATTGTCAGTGGGCGGACGAACTCGAACCATGAAAATGGTGTGGGATCGATTCGTCGCAGTGACATATACTCGATCTTCCTTGCTGACTCCTTGCTGTCGATGCCGCTGCCCAGATAACGGGTTTCAGGGCCGAAGAACAGATACAAGATGAATTGGCCCCCATTGATCTTTGGATTTATCAGCTTATGAACAGGTTACTGACTACCATGGGGATGAGAGCTTACCATTGCCAGGATCCAGAAGATCCACTGATAACCAACGCGGTAGGTGACGAAGCCGAAGATAAAAGGCCCAACCGGGACACCCAGGGTGATCATCAGCGTCCAAACGCCCATGTAACGGCCGCGGTCTTTCTTGAAAGTTGTCTCCATCACGATCGCACTGCCAATAGCAGAGGCAGGTGAGATGAAAAAGGCCACGAGGGCCCGGCAAGCAGCCATAGAGGCATATGTGGTGCTCTTCGCACAGCCGATATTGCACACGAGACTGCAGATGAGAGAGATGAGGAAGATAGGCCGGCGCCCGTACCGGTTGGATAGCGGTTTCCAGAACAGAGGCGCACCTCCAAGGATGGCGATTTGCAAAGAGGTCAAGTAAGCAGCATCTTGCATTTCGACGCCGAGTGCTGTGGAAATGTCTAAATAGGCAGGGATAATGGCGGCGGCGGTAAATGTGCCCATGCAAGCGTGGAATGCCACAAGGATAAGGTTAATCATTTTCTGCGCGTCGATGCGTCAGTCTTCTCTCCCACGGGATCTTTTGCTTTCGTCTTGTTTCAAGATCATTCGCGACAAAGTCATCTTGTAACAAGGAGGATATTGACGAACCTTCCACTCAGGCCAGTTATAAGGGTCAGCTGGACTCATTCCGGGAATGGGATCGAGTTCCAAAGTCCCGTGTCGCTCCATCAGATAGTCTCGGTGGGCTTTTGGCAAACGAGAAGTCATTGACTCGGCGTATGTGACTTCCCGACCATGTCCTGCGCTTTCAATGAGATCGATGTCGGCTTTAGTACCTGGCACCTCCTCAACCTGGTCTCGTCGAGACGAGCTCGGTTGCAATTCCAAGGACATCATGTTGTTCACGTTCCCCAATGAGAGAATGGAACCAGACAAGCGCTCAAAGGCTCGAGTTACTCTCTAGCTATGATCCAAGGTGGTGTGTTGATTGTTGTGAGAATATTCGGAGGAAATGTGGGGGGAGTGCTGAATAATGATGACAGAAACGTGGGCCTCTCTGTACAGTACTTCTGCTGGGCACGCGAAACCAGCGAGGTCCTGGCGAAAAATGCTAGGGCGAGTGTGCACAGCCAAGACACTAATCCCACGGCGTTTGCCCAGTCGGGGTTCCCCCTGGGGTAGTTACATATTCTCCGGAGTTTTCGGCTCCGTTGCGGGTCCTTCGGGGAGGAAATAGAGGAGGAAATGGAGAGAAAACGGAGAGAAATGCGGAGGCACTCCACGGTTCCTGATTGGCAAGCGTCGGCACTGGCGAGTCATGATGCTGCTAAAGAAATTGCGGTCATGGGGTCGCCCAAAAGACCGATGCATGGCACTTGAACACGGCTAGCCGATGAAGCTTCTTTACTGTGTAGCACCGCGTCCATACCGAGCCAAGTACCGAAAGGATTTTGTCATCTTAGCGTTGCCTGGGACTATGTATTTCGCTCTACACTTCAGCTAAGTAAATCCCAATCGGGACATTTCACAAGCCGCGTAACCTTGAGACATGTGATGGGACTTGGTCTGAGCATTGCGTGGAAGTCTACAGAGAAATCGGGGTGAAAGGCAGCAGCCACACTTTCTTGGCTGTATTGCCACGACGCTTATTTCCGCTTGAATGCTTAAACGCTTAAAACACACTTGGACTTGAATTCGAACACTGCTTAATTGCTTGTCAGATCACTCTTATTAACGAAGAATAAATATACATTTGAACCTGATCTATCTTCAAGATCTTTCAAGCACTCTGGGCAAAATATAATTTCCGTGATCGCATAAGCAGGTCCCACACCCCACAATTGCCTCTCCACAATCTGATCTGTTGATTCCTTCTCCTCATCAAAAATGTCGTCAATGGGGATAATAGCGGCAGAAATGCCAGGCAAGAAACTAGTTTGTCGAGTATGTCAAAAATCATTCTCCAAGGCCGAACACTTGAGGGTGAGTAGACTTAGGTTCAGATCTCCAGCTTCCCCACGAAAGAGGGACAGCCAAGTGATACGAGATAACTAACGTCCTTATAGAGACATGAGCGTTGCCGTATGTTCTAATTTCATTCGATATCTATGCAAATTTCATACAAAAACACCCAACCAGCTGACCAAATTACTTAGATACCGGATCTAAACCATATGTCTGTAAAGAGTGTCGACGGCCCTTTGCCAGACAAGATGCTCTTACTCGCCATGAAAAGCTGCACTCTCGTGCTATAAATGCAAGGAATGACTCGTCCGGGGCTCACTTGCCGTCACAGCCTACCTCTTTGGATTCTCTCGCTTCTTGGGATACGAGCAGTGCTTCCACTGCTGATCCGGCGTCAACTTCAGCAACCAGTCACTCCTGGGATGAGTCTCATCCTGAGAATCATGCGAGTATGCATAATGCTGCTTCGGACTTGGACTTTGCATTGGTTTGGCCTGATTCGGAAAACTTGTTTCAGAGCTTGATGTCCTCGGATACGACAGATCAATGGCAGATGCCGCTTGGTACTTTGCCGTTTCCGCCTGTTGTGCAGGATATCAATGGGATGAACTTTGGATCTCCGAATTCATTCGATGATCGTAGGACTTCTGTCGAGGCAATACCGTCCGGTGGAGGACACCAGGCAGTGCGAGATGTCACAGAGATGGTAACGAGCTCGGTGAGTTGAGCTTTGCATTTCGTCAGAGGAAAACAGGCTGGTTGAAAACCTCGGCCAAGACACAGGCTAAACTGAGATTTGATCGAAACTGACCTTTAATTTTCCTAGTCATCTAGTGTTACTGCCGCCGTCAAAGCCACGTCCATAACCTCGGTATTCCTAGACGAATGTCTCCATATGTTCTTCGTCCGCTTCATCCCCACATTCCCAATATTGCATCGTGCGACTTTTATTTTCCGAGAATGCACGCATCCTCTCCTCCTCAATGCTATCGCCATTGGCTCTTTATACCTAGGCCCCAAGGATTCGGTTGCAAAAGGCGAAGCCCTATGGCACCTAGCGCATACCGCACTTTCAACTTCATGGCAATCCTTGATCACACATAGTGGTCCCTATGATGCCTGCAAGGGAGTTCAATTGATGATCACAGCTGTGCTGGGACAGATCTATGGGGCACTATCCAAGAACCGGGCAATTCGAACCACCAGCCAGGTCTTCCATCCGCTGGGCTTCTTATGGGCAAGACACTGTGGCATGTATGAAAGCGAGCCATACTCAATCGACAACCTGCCCTCGATCGATGCTCCGGCTGCAGAAAAAGAGCACCAGTGGCGAATCTGGTCTGCGCGGGAGATCCAACAACGCGTCCTGCTAGCCTACTACGTCCTGGATGGGCTTGTGACTCAAACGGCGAGCGATGGTGCCTCCTCTCGCCATGTGGCAAACCCACTCAGCCTGCCTAATAGCGAAGAAGCCTTTGATGCCAGCACTGCCGATGAATGGTTAACACACATGCACCCCCAAAATCCAGATCAGTCCTCATTTAGGATGATTTTCCGCTCTCTCTTCCCACCTGTCGGGAGCTTCCGCTCTCTAAAGTACCAGTTCTCTGCATTCGCACTACGTGTGGTGCTAGAGGGGCTCCAATCTCTGATATCTGACTCTGATGACAATGAACTAGCCGTGGGAGTCCCTAGCCAATCAGACGTCCGACGAGCTCTAGCTCAAGTCCACGAGACAATATCCATGAGCATCCACTTCTCCGCAGCAGAAAGACTTGAAATTCTCCTACGTTGGCACACAGTCTGCCTAGATACAATGATCAACTCCATCGCTCTCTCCCGCCACGTCTGCTCGCGCTACAATATTTTCCAACACGTCTCTGGTGGATGCGGAACCGTCCGTCCGGGCTTTGATCTTGTCAAATGGGCTAATTCAGAAGACGCGCGGCGGGCCATCCTCCACGCGGTCGCCATCCAAGACATCGTAGAGCAATTACCACGTGGCCGCGCACACGTCGTGCACATGCCCAGCTCACTATTCGCAGCTGCCACAATATACGTGGTCCTTTCACTTGCTGGAGTCGCCACTGTGAATTTGCCTCGCAACATCGTTTGGCAAGACGCTTTACTGTCTCATTCGGATCTCAATCTGGGTCATGAGAATATCCGGCCTCTATCTGGCTCGGAGACAAAGCGCTTTGTGGAGAATGGAAATGCTAGTTCCTCGCTTCCGCTTCCTATTGGTGGTGCTGTTAGGAATCTGCTTTATGAGCTCAACTCTATGCAAAAGCTTTTCCGGTGCTTATCTTCACAGTGGGGTATTGCGCATGACATGGAGGATATTATTTCGCAATGGATTCAGCTCTGTCATTAGGGGACCCGGCTGGACTTGGTCTCAGAGTTGATGAATGCGTATCACATGGAATTTTGCTCATTTTTGGCGTTAGTGGAGGTGCTTCGGAGAAGTTTTATTGGGTAACAAACGATTGGATTGTTGGCAGAAATTGATATACGTATATACCCCTCATATTGAATTTGAATATCCAAGTTGAAACTCCTAAAAGGTGACAAGCGCCAAGTTCGTTCCCATGTTCTCTAACTAGGCAAGAACACTGTTCACATTGCGTACCGAAGCCCTCAAGTTTTCCACATATTCCCCTGCATCGTGTTTCGATGTGGAATGTTTCCTATGCTAAAATCCTTGAAGCATCCTCATCTCCAGGATTAAGGCCAATTGCCTTGTCAATCGACATCTAGCATGAGTCCTGCAACGCCCTTTCTAGGTGAAAAGATGCCCGAAATTGCCCAAGATAACACCTCTGACATCTTAAATCGAAAATCTTCTGAAGTTATAGCAAAGGACGGTTCCATTGTAGTTGATTTAGGGTTGGGACCACGTGGTTCACGTGCTCTTGTCTTTCATGCACGGTTCCCCTGGTGCAGCTGCTTTGCCCTAGGTAATTTCTTGCTGTATGGGGTAATTTTAGATATTCCAGTACTGTATGGTGTTCTAAAGCTCTCTTCAGGTTGTCAAATAAGCAAAATCTTATATTTACATTGTTTACCTTGATTCACTGGCAATGGATCGCAGAAAAGAGGATTGCCCCAAATTCTAGAGCGGCTCTGTAGCCTTGGAACCTTCGAATCTTTTTTGAGTAATCGTAATTAAAAAATTTGACCAACTGAAGCAAATGAAAAAGGACCGAACCTTGAATGTAGATATTTCAATTTGTGATAATCACGTGGCTCGTGCCGAAAACGCGGGATAGACGCGACGCGACGCGACTCCGACCTTTCCGACCCACTTTGAGTGTGTTTCACGCTGCTTTCGGCTAGAATCTATCCACTGACATTCTTGATCTTTTTGATCTGTGGGTCCAACTGTGAACTATCCATTCTTATTCGAGCGAAGTGATCCAACCCGGTGGCAGCGTGGCGTCCCCATGCCAAACAAGACCAGATGATCGCCGATCAAACCTGAGATCCCAGAACCCGGCAACGGGTCCAGCCATTACCCCAATGGATCTTACATCAGTCCGTGGAACCAAGCTCAGCGATATAGTAGTCGATCACCGCCCTAGCACAGGTCGTGGCAAGAAAATTACCCTTGCGCAAGAGGCCGTGCTGAGGAGACTCTATGAAGAAGAATTGCCCTCCGTGTCCAATGGCAAGGTACAAGGGAAAACGTTCTGGGCGAATCTCGCTTCGCGGTTTCATGAACAGACCGGTCGCGAGTATTCATGGTTGTCTGTGAAGCGGCGGGCAGCAGGTTGGCGTCAGAACTCCCCAGAAGTTGACCGGCGACTGGATACTTCTCATGGTAGCGAGCTAGGGGTCGAGGATTCGGTAGCAGAGCCTAGTCATCAAGATATTGCTCGTGAATCCCCACGACAACAGGGTTCAGGTGACAGCGAACAAACTGCCCTGGCACAAAAGAAGCCTTCCCTGCACCCGGAGGATTCGACCACCCTGGGGTTGTCTCAACTTGAAAGAAGTCCCAGTGTCGGCAACTGGTTGCCGCGCAATTTGTTATCAGGCGTCACAGACCCAAGCCAAGACAGCAACAGTAACATCAAATCTCCTCGCGTGTCTCAACGCCGTCCCCGATCAAGATCACCCCAACGTGTATCGCAGCCTAGATATCGTCGCCGATCTCCTTCAACGAGACGCACCAAAATTATCTCCAACCGATTGCATCACCAGCTGGCCTCTTCGTCTGATGAGATAGTCACGTCTGGCCCCAACCCTTCTTCCGGCTGCTCCCGGGCCCATGAAGATATGCAGCCCGGTCATCTGGATAAACGAAATCCCCCTGGATTCAGCCGTGTCCACGAGTCGGTGGAGAATGATGAGCGTGAGAACAACCCTCATGATTCAGCAAGGTTTAAGCATGGAGAGAGTAAAGTCAGTAAAGGTCTTCTTGCCTCGCCGCACTTATCTGAGCAAGATGACCTACCACTTGGCCCAACTCGGATTATGAGGAGGCGTGTTGCAAGATGAACGGACCTAGAGATACCTAAGTACACATATGTCTACCTTGAAGAAAATGAGCCAATAAGGCGCACAGAAGACATAAATGGTCTTAGTTTTCTGAATCATAGAGCGCGCCGCTATAGTCTATCCTAAATTAGGAGGCCTCATGCTGGGAAAGACTCTTAGGATCAAGGAGTTGTAGGAGCTGCCTGATTTGGATGTGTATGTGCAGAATCGTTTGCTTCGTCTCTATGAACTAAGCGCCGAGAATTTGACGACTAAGTCGTATTGATCCAGCCCTGTGAGCCCCGGGGCCCTTTAAATTGTTTGCCTTGATCTTTCTCTTCCGCTTCTTTTCTTTCTCCTCCACCTCTCTACGTTTACTATTCAGTACATACAAGTTTACCCGAGTTCAACTCCAATTTTTTCAAGTACATCATCTCATCATCCTATCATTCAACATACACCGTTCATTCAAATTACCATCTACCATGGCGAAAATCAAGTGGGACTCCGTCGCTGACCAAACTGTGAGTTTACTTTTGACTTTTCTATCATTTTCCTTTGATTATATTGCCCGGGCCCAAGTGATAGGTCTAGGCTTACCGTCTTGACCTTCGCTCTTGCACTATGTCTGGCTGGGCAAACCGATTTTCATGCTTTGTTGCAAGAAATACGTGCCTCTCAGATTGAGTTTTGATTTGATTTGATTTGATCATTCCAACCTGTTTTTTTCTCTCACGTTTTGTTTACTATTCTACTACTGTTTGGTCTCATTCTCTTGGCCTATGCATACAAAACTGAAAATGACAAACCGTGACTGACAACGCTCATTTGATGAAGCTGCTCACCACGATCCTTGAGACTCATCACATGAGTGTTGATGCGGCCAAAGTCGCCGAGGCCTGGCGTATGTTCTCCGTTCTGCAGTCGCAATCAAAATTTAAATCACCAAAATATTCATTCTAACTTGCCCTCAGCTGCCCAAGATGAAGACCACCAGCCCACACCTCGAGCTATCAAGGGACGTCTTAATCGGATTAAAGAGCTCAATCGCGCGCGCAACGCTGATGCTGCCACCGCCGGGCCCTCTAGCCCAGTTACTCCCAAGAAGAGTACTCCCAGGAAGAAGACCACCGAAGCATCAACTCCTGCTGCTCCTTCGCGCAAGCGCAAACGCCAGATGACTGACGCTGCCACTGACGATGATGAACTTGTTCATGTCAAGAAAGAGGAAGACGAGAGCGCCGAAGGCAAAGAGCCTGTTGTCGACACCCCCGTCAAGGAAGAGAAGGACCTGGAGCACGCCGATCCCCGCCTTCACTCGCACGCCAAGGAAGAATCCCCCGATGTTGACAATGGAGACGGAGATGCTGATTGGGTCGAAGACAACGAGGACCACGACGCCGACTCCAATCAGTCGCCCAACTAGGAGAATGGCCATTCGCAAAGGGGCTTCATGTTAGTTGCCCGAAAGTTTGACGCCTCGAACCCCCTCGATTAGTCCTCGGAATTTCTCCTCACTTTGTGCCGCTTGGTTTTGCTTTTGTCTTTGCCGTTGCGTTTCGTCGGGTCTCCTTGTTGGGTAGCTTGTTCTTCCCCAGCGATGGATGTGTGACCCGATCACAGAAAAAAAGAAAACCCCCACAAAAAAAGGGCTGTGCTCATTCTTCGGATTGCACCGTAATCCATAGTCGATTTGACTGACGCTCTAGTCGTCTATTTTTTTTCTATTCTTGCCGTATGCAGGTAAAAGAAGATTAGTGGGATCAGTGCCTTGTATTGTGAGCAAAGAGACCCGACTAGCTAAGCTCATCGCCAGTGGCTGTAAATTCATCTGATCATAACCCTTGTAGATTGTTTCAATGCATATCCCAGTATTCCTCCCAGTTCTGAGATTCCGAAAACCTCCCCAGATAAATTCGAATGCCACCAGCATGTTGACACCTTCACCATGTCAATTTTGTATGGCTCCGTCTTAATAATAAAAAGTGGAAACAAGAGTGTTGATCACGCTTAGATGTCAGAGGTAGCTTCCTCCTTGACGCTGAAGACACTGGATCAAACGACATTAGCCCTCTGAATTTCTGCTGATATCCTCACAATTGGCAGGGACTTACTCCTTGGCAACCTCCTTCTTGATACGGGGCTTCTTGCCCTTCACATCCTCGTTGTCGGTCCCCTCATCCTTAGTGACCGGGCTTTCTCCGGCAGACTCAGTATCGACTTCCTTGGACTGAGCGGCAGCGGCCTTGGCAGATTTCTTGGAGGTGGAGCGCTGGCGCTTCTTAGCCACTGGCGAGCCAGGAGCAGAGGTTCCGCTGCCATCGTTCAGCTCCGCAGCCTTGGCGCGAAGACGAGTAACGCGGTGACGGACGGCACAAGCAGTGGCTCCTATAGAACTGTGTTAGCGTAGTGCATATATTAGCCTGGAAAAGGCGCAGAAGGGTGCATGAGGGATGGAAGACAAAATTTCCGGTCCAACTGTGCACGGCAGACAACAAATGGGGGAGGAGTGGGGGGTGCGCACAATAATAGGCACCCTCCAAGTTTCTCAGGCGCATAGGACAAAGAACAAGAAATACAGAATGTGTCGATGCGGAAAATGCGTATGTATGTAGGTGGGTGATAGCCACAAATAAGTTGCACAAATAGACGCCATATTCGGGGTTCAGGAGTCAAGCTCAATATGGGTCGAGTTTCGTCCGCGTGTCACTTACCATCGCCCATGTACTCCGCAAGCGCGTTGAAATCGATCGAAGCGTGGGTAATAGCGAGTATGCCAGCCAGCAACTAAAGAGAATGGTCGTTAACTCTTGGAACAAAACATGCGCAAAACATATAGAACGTGGTAAAGACGGATCTTAGAGACAAAAAAACGTCAAAGTGAATGTTCAGCCACACCACCGTCCGAATGAAGGCCGAGTGAAGGCCAAGGACTTCTGGCTAGGAACACCGTCCATCCAGCACAACCACCAACACCAACAGTATCAAATATAGGTAGCAAACGAACGGTATATCGATAACGCGGAGATATCTGGAAAGAAATTTGAACCTACCTTGGCATCCGCCCTCTCGTTCCAGCTGATTGGCATTGCTGCGGTGGGCGTCAAACTGGCTGGAGCAAACGATGTCAGTATCCCTGTGCAAGGCGAGAAAAACGAGAACAAGAGTTGGATCGCATGCTGGCTAGGAGTTTGGACGATCCCAAGAGTAAATAGAGGATGAATGGATGAACGTACTGATCTGCAGAATAGGTGCAAGTTGATGCGAGATGCAATGAGTAAGATGTTTCGGAGTGACGGACGAAGATGAAGTTATTAAGAGATATTTAAAGAAGTGCTCGGACGAACTCTGAATATTTGACAGTCACTTCAAGTGCACAAATTACCAACCTTTCTTCTTCGTCTCTTTAAGATTTACCATGCCTGTCATACACAAGTAGAACTGTATACATTGACTACTTCGTAGTTGGAATACATAGAAGAATAGCATGACCACTATAAGACAGCCACCAGGAGCAGCGAGGTTCAAAGGTGATAGTGCACAGCCCGTATTCCCTAGAGTTTATAGACGCACTGCTCCAATAGGGGAGTTATTTGACCATCGTTGTCGTCCGCTGCAAATAGACAGGCTCGGGATGTTAGTTTAATATTAGTTAGTCGTTAGATCGCATCGCGTCTGCGTCCTGTCAAATACCGTCTCCATCTATCTGACCGTCGTCGTCGTCCGCTTCAAAGAAGAGACAGGCTCAAGATAGCTCGTGCGATGAAGGAAATCTTCATGTTGCTTGGAATAATATGCATGAAAAAGCTTCTTTCTTTCAAATCAAGAATACGCGGATAACAGGTTATCCGAAAGGCCTAGACTAAAGGCCAGACGGTCTCCTCCCTCCGTATGTCGCATAACCGCTCCATGAATGTCAGAATAGAATTCAATATCTCCCAACCAATGCCAGGTCTAAGAAGCGGGAATTCTTAGAGCTTGCGTTGCTTGGTGGGACTTCCGCCAGATTCATCGCCATCTCCATCTCCACCCTGGCTCTCGACAACGGGATCCTTCTCAGGCTTGTTGGCCGTGGCGGTCTTGCGCTTGCTGGGAGACTTGGTAGCCTTGCGGTCACGTCCAGATGGCTTGTCCGCCTTGTCGTTGGTGTTAGACTGCGCAGGGCCTGCCCCTAGGCGGGTCTTCAAAGTGTAGACGTGGTTCTTCACGGCTGCAGTGCTGTCGCCTACATCTTGTTAGACGAGTTGGTGTAATGCGCAGGTAGAGCAAACGGTCTCATAGGTGACAAGGTAGAAATCCCTGAAGTACTTACCCTGTCCCATGGCTTTGGCAATGGCGGCAAAATCCAGCGGAGAATGGACGGCCAGGATGGCCACAAGCAACTACCAATCATTAGCCATTGATACAGATACCTTCTCAGTACGAGCAATAAAGGGCCAGCTGAGGTAAAAACAGCCCAGGAACTAGCATCCCGTGGGCTGCTGCTGCTATCCCCATAGATGAGCAAACTTACCTGCTTGTCTCTCTCGTGATCCCAGGAATGAGCCATTGTGATGAATAAATGCTTGTGAGGTCGAAGACGGATGGCTGGGAGACTTCGGCGATAATGGTGATGTTGAAGAAGGAGAAGAGAAGTAGAGGGAATGGACAGAATGTTGAAAATCACCTTCCCATTTTTGCGTAATCTGCTCCACGTGAGCACCAATGACCTCGTGGAATTAACTGGAATATTAAGATGAAAACTGTGACTCCCGTCCTATTACCTTTCTGTCTTGATATCCCAGTGGGTATTATGATGCTCTGGTTTTGTGTTCGTCGCTCTAATTTTAGAGTCAAGAATCTCCTAAAGTCCCCGACATACACCCGATTGTGTATTACTCGCAGCTCGCAGCTCGCGTTCAGGAACAGGAACTTGTGGTAGTTGGACCGAATGTTGTTTGGCACGAAACTCAATTCAAGAAAAACGAAATATCAACCCGGGAATCTATACTGAAACACAAACAGCGCAGGAAGATAAACATGTCCATAGAAGCCACTCGAAATAGCCTGTGCGCCCGTTGACCATAGCATGAACAAACAACATATTGATGCCTACAATTGTCCAGCAGACGGCGGTGTGGACGTCCACGGCCCACTGACAAATTGTGACTCCGAACCTCTTCCTGTCTTCCCTTGTGAATGTTCGAGATGCTCCGGATAATGACTCGACTGGTCGTGAGGAACTTGGTTAACGTGTGTTGTTTCAGGGAAGCCTGCCGGTCCACTGCCAGGACCAGATTGATGCTGCGAAAAGTATTGTTTGACACCGACTTGCGCCAATGGGTTATGATATTGCTGATAGCCTTGGGCAAGATTGCCTTGGTGTGCTCCTGGCTGTGTTCGTATCATGTGCTGCTGTTGGTATTGACTCTGCACATGTTGCAGCGGTGAGAATCCCTGCAATGCAGGGTCCGCGTGAGACTGTTGCGAATTGGAACGTGGGTCCGGTTGGCCTTGGCCGAATCTACCTTGGTCAAGCATAGATTGCGGCGAATGATTGGGGAAGCTATCCACGGAATTTTGGTAGGATTGCCCTTCCCGGACAAGAGAAGGATTCGAGCCACGGCGAGGGTATTCTCCCGAAGACTGTTCCGTGTGCTGGGTGGATGAGTAAGACCCAAAGAAGGGCTTATGCAGGGTCGATCCCTCACCAGGGGCGTTCAAATGGCCTTGTTGTGATTCCAATTGCCACTGTGGCTGGGAAGTGGAAGCTCCACGCATTGAACTTGCCATTTGCCCTTGCGGATTGTTGGCTATTTTCCACGAAGCTGGTGGCTGTTGACTATGCAATCCAGCAGGATCTGCAGAAAATCCTTGGAAGGATTGTGCATGTTGCATCATGTTATAACCGCTTGGGTGTCCCTGATATGTACCTGAATTATTACCCCACGCAGATGAGGATATACTTTGGCCCATGTGGTGTGGACCCGTGATTTGATACCCTGGATGTGCTTGACTTCCATAAAATGCTGGCTGAGCACCATTCATTTGACCAACGGGGCCCTGTTGTAACAAATTCTAGAGACAAATAAGCACCACAACCAATCAATATCTGTGAGACTCGAAATTTGAACATACCGGGCCATATCCGGCTGCGTTTGCAGCGAGCTGCTGCTCATATCCGCCGGGCAGGTGTAGACCCGTTTGATTCGAATACCAACCCGGTACCCCGGAAGACCCATAAATTGGATTGTCCGACTGCCCATATATCTGGGAGTCAAGGGAGTTCTATCCCACCATCAGTGCCATTCTTGCAATGCTTACGCAGACATAATGAGCGCGATTCCCTACGGAAATTCTCGCACTGTCCGCAGCGGAGTACATCCCGCCTGCCATTGTGCCCACGGACTCCAGCCCTCGAGTACTGCTGCTTGTCGGATGCGATGTTGGTTCCTGCGATGGCCCTGCCCCGGGCGTCGGTGTTGTTGATGGGGTCAAGACGATCGGTTCGGTGGGAATCTCCCATTGCGACTTCCCGGTCGTCCGCTGAACGTAATACCATTTCCGTCGAACACCCTCCCATTGAGGGAGCCTTTCAGGTATTATTGTTAGAATACAGCGGGTAGGTTCTTTGATTCCCGGGGGTTGACTTACCAGCCTTCTGGAAGTTGAGGTGGTGGGGAGGACGGGCCTGCAGTATCCGCAGGGGCCTCGGGAGCCATCTCGGACCTAACAGTATCCAGCCGATGTGGGAATAACGAAAAGAAAACAAGACATCCAAATTCTGGCTATGACTGATAAAATTCAAATATACACAGGAGAAAGGTGTGGGATAAACAGAAGTGAGGTTCAACGAGACTCGCAGATAAGACGATCTTGTGGGGCTTGGCCTTTGATCGCCGTGCACAGACCGAGTAAACACCGCCACATGTTATGCACACAAGGTACATATCAAGCAATGGAATTAGAGGAATCATGCAATACTCTGCGCCATATCGTTATTCTCATAAATCGCTAAATATTATTCTAGTAAGATATCAAATAGTAGCTCCTGTTTATCCCCCCAAGCGCCAGATCCTAGAAACATAAAACATATCGGCATAAAAAATTAAAAAATAATCTATCCTTCGAGGCGCATTGTAGAGCTCCGAGAGATGAGATAGTTATAAGTACAAAAGGGCACTGTTGTTGGAACTTCGCCATGGACTATTACGCCGAACGTCCCTAGAAGTCATCGTCATTGCCATCCCAGTCCTCGTCCCCACTGAGTTCATCGTCGAGAAAATCATTCTCGTTGAACTGCAACTCAGTCGGTCGCTGGTTGTCGATCCGAATGTTTACAATATCGCACATTCCCTGTATCTTCCCGGCTTCAGGCTGCGGAGTCCCGACCAACGAAGAACCACTAGCAGCATCGTCAATTTCGTTGAATTTTTGATGTGCTAGCCGAGTACTTTGGCGTTTGGAGGAAGTCAATCGTCCACTATCAGCTGTGGATGGCCGTGGATCATCAACTCCAGCACATGGTTCATCGGGTCCATTCCTTGCGATTGATGTGGTGGGTTTGAGCGAGCGCTTCTGAAGGGAGCGGAGATTGGGGTCTGGTGGCATGCTTCGTCGCAGGAAGACCTTTTCGAGAAGACCGATCCATCGCTCACGAAAAGTGGCACGGTCACGCCAGCCAATCTTCAGGATTGCACTGATGACCAATCGACGTAGATCTCGAAGTTTGGGTGCCGCATTCACCAGCGAAGTGAAAAAAACCTCTGCAGTAGCGTCGTCCCATTTGCGTAACTGGGTGAGCTCGATTTCTTGGAGCTTTTCTGGCCACGTGGGAATTTCGGTTTGGACAAGTAGATCTTCAAAGTGCGGCTCGACGTCGTGGTAGCTGGACGCATCATGCATAGAAAGGTCCATTTTGAAGATTTCGAGATTCTCACAGTACTGAGCCAAAGTTTGGATGAAAGACATGTTGAGGTGGCGATTGTGGCTTAAACTGAGTTCTCGGAGGTTGGTGCCATGTAAAGACATATAGGTTGTGAGATCTGATGACCACAATCGATCACAGTTGTTCAGCGTGAGGGAACGGAGAGTATTTGGTAGATTGGTCAGGATTTCCCCGCAAACCAATGAGCTTTCAATGAAATCCAGTCGCTGAAGGTCTGGAAGCATCTGAAGAGCTTCAAGGAGGCCAGCCTCTTTGGTAGCGGAAGTTTCTTCGTTGAGATTGTCGAAGTGGAGCAATTTCAGCTCCCGGAGACCCCGAAAGGCGCGTTGTGAGTGCATTTCCACCATCATTTGGACGAGCCCATCGGTTTCTAAAAAGCGGCTGTTCCAATCCCAGCTACGAAGGATAATGCCACGGTTCTCGAGGGCGGAAAAGACAGTGTCTGGATAAGTCCACTTTGATTGAACAATGTGCCATGGAGGTATTCCCACCGTGTAATCATCTTTGTGATACAGTCGTACCGTGTGTAAACGAGGCGTCTTTTCAATTAACTGAGCAAGGTCAAAGTAGCCGTAGGGTCCACTTTTATAGATGAGCACCGGTTCAACTTCAACATGAAGTTGCTTGATCTTGCTAGAGTAGTTCATCGAGAGAGACTCTTGTGGGCGCGCCAACAGAGAGAGGAGCACATGGCTCTTGTAGGCAGGAAGAAGAGGGGGACAGTGATAGAGTGCAGCGAGCGCAGGCTCGTGAAAGCTTCGACACAGCAGAGCGACATTGACTAGCCACTTGACAGAGTCGTTGCGGGCCGAGCGGCTTTCGTCGAGTAGTGGGTACGATGCACGCAGGAAAATGTCAAGAAGAATATGGTAGGGGAGAGTTTGCCAAGGAGGAATGACACCGGATCCCAGGAATATCGGGTCATCCCCATCTGTCTTGGCACGTTTGTGCAGGACTCTCCCAACTTGACTACTGGGTTTCGATCGTTTAGGTTTCTTTGGATTCGGGGTGGTTGCAGCGCGCCGAGGACCTTGGGATTTGGAGGTGTGAGGATGCGCAGATTCGGCATCCGGGTTTGGTGCATTGACCGGCGCAGCTATTAGTGCTTCAGGCTCTTGGTCTTCCACGGCTCCATCAAAGCTAGCATCCGTCGAATCTTCGCGATAGGATTTTGGCATTCGAGTTGTACTGCGAGAGCGAAGAGATAATGAGGCACGCCTTGAGCCGGGCAAGCCTGTTGATTCATCTTGAGACGAGCTTTCCTCGTGGTAGGTCAGCACCTTCGTGCGGCTGGACCGCATAGGGCGAGTGGACCTTGAGCGCGAACTGGAAGGCGCCATGACGGATAAGGTCGCGCTAGGATAAGAGAGTGGGTTGCAGAGACCCGAGTCACATTGTACGCACGACGTCCCGTGCGCAATGATATGAGCAGGATATATAAATCACTGGCTTGCGCAGGCGACAACTCTGCAATTATTGTCGTTCAAATTGACCCTTGCGATAGTCCGGGTGAGTCCGGTTTCATTGATGGATGAGGTCCAAGATGCCAAGAATGCCAAGGCGACAGACTTATCGATAACAGAAGGGGCTAATTGACGCTAACCTTATTGGGATCTGAATCACACGTGATAGCCAGGCAGGAACCCCGCCCTCAGGCCATGACGCTAGTCCTTATTGGGGAACACTAGATGGCCCCAAAATAGATTCTCAGCTTGAGCTTTAAAGATGGGCGCTTCCAGCCACCTCGAGGGGAAACCTCCTGGAACCCTACACCATCGGCGCATTGCTGTTCAGGATCTGATCTTCTTCCCTTTTTCTTAGTATTCATACACCGATCATTTTGTGTTGAAGATAGCCTACATATATGCTGTGGCTCCTGATTTGACGATAATGACGACTTGCCTATGCGACCTAGGATCCGCATGATTGTTTGTCTGCATCGCGTCTCTAGCTCTATTCTACAATTAAATATAGAGGTCCATCACTCCGAATCGCCAAGTTTCCGATGGAAACATCATTTCCTGTTATGATGGACTCAACCGATCGCTCGAACCGTGGTGAGCTCAACGGGCCGCAGATGGTCATTCAACAATATGCGCGATATCCTGCGACCTTGGAATCGACGTTACAGAGTGCTTCCTCTTTAGGAAGTGCTCGTAGCCAAATAGATATCAACAAATCGCCTCCCTTACAGCGAAGAGAAACCCCCAGGAGCTTACAGTCTTCCCCGAGGGGCATGCGTTCTGCTATTCTCCCATCATCGGCCAATCGCTCTGGGACATCCATGTCTCCGCCAGTGTTTGATCCTCATCGCCTTCAGCCGATGAAAGATCCTGCCGATCACGCAGATTCCCGAGTTCTTCCCTCACGGGATATCACTGACGAGACGATCGATGACGCCTATGTATCATTTATATTGTATTGCAATCCTAATGTTCCATCCTCGGTTGACACATCAGATCTGAGAAAGACCTTCCGGTGTCTCCCACGGAGTGATGGAAAAAGCTTCAACATTTTTACCCTATTCGGGCTCATTCGCAGACGGTTGCAGAATGAAGAGTTGAAGACATGGATTCAACTAGCAATTGAACTAGGTGTCGAACCACCCTGCATTGAAAAGAAGCAAAGCACTCAGAAGGTGCAACAGTACACTGTTCGGCTCAAAGTACGTCTGCCCTCGAGCTTCCAGCCCGTATTCGCCTTGCTAACCTCGCCCAGCGCTGGATGCGTGCTATGCATATTGATGCTTTCTTTGAATATTGCATGGGCCTGCCCCATTCTTACTATACACAGCTCCCACCATCTGGTCCTTTCGTCAGTGAATCCCGCGATGGTGTATTATTGGAAGAAGATCTCGCACTCAGGGCACTTGTGCCACAATGGAAGCCAAAGCGGGGAAGAAAAAGGGTTGAAGATAGGTACAGCGAGGAAGACAAAGCAATCAAGCGACCCCAGTTGGATACATCTGTGGGCGCCCTACAGCAGAGTAGTTTTCCGTCACACTCTGTCACATTCCCGCAGAGTGCGATTCCATTCAGTGCATTTCCCGATGATATGGAGCCCAATGACCCGTGGATAGCGGCGACCTCCTCGTTTCCAAATGGTTCAGGGCCAGATCAACAAACTCAAGATACACGCTGGAGACTTCCTGACCGGGATGCATCTCCTGCTAATTATCCACAGTCTGCTATCATTCCCCGCAGTCATCTACCATCAGATGTCCTCATGTCTGCGGAACCAAGGTCGGCAGTCACTCCGTCAACCGGAGAAAAGAGCCGTTCTAGGAGACGACATGGACCTGCTGTTTCATCTGCTTGGCCGAACAGCAACGGCTTGTCGGCAGGAAAAGGCCGAGGAAGACCACCAAATAAAGGGTCATCATCGGGTTCCTTTTCTACATTCCAGGTCAATCCTAGCCGGGATTCATCACAAGCACCCAATCCTAATGCTCAGGTTTCTTCGCTTGCCCTTGACAGAAATCCGCCCCAAATGTTCCAGACCCCATCTCACAATCAGCCTCCAACATCTATCTCTCAGGGAAGGCCCAATAAACTACAATTGCAGGTTCCTCAACACTCAGGGGCGCCGGTTCGACTTGCCACTCCACCGAGACTAGTAGTTAATGGTGTGCATGGTGCTGTCATTCCCGGGTCCGAAGGGCCCAATGGTTCCCGGCAATATCCCACCACAGATACTCCAAAGAATGGTATCACTGCTCAAGCACCTTCCTCCAGTGGGCAAGGCAATGCAACCGCTACCCCGAATCCCTCCATCGATGACATTGTCCATGCACTTTCTACAGAGCTACTTCGAGCTAGGCTGACAGGGCGAACACCGACCCTATCCCCCAACGAGGCAGGTGCTCTGGCCTCGGCAGTGGTGATCAATTTGTCTTCATTATATTCACAATTCCAACTCGGTACTCCTTCGCTGTTGCTGGCTTTTCATCTTGGTGTCGGTCATCATTTCGGATTCGCAGGCAGTAATCCAGGGTCACTGGTCATCAAGTTTGAACGTGCCATCCCAAGCAGCGATGGAAACAGGGGTGCGCCTGTCTCCCAAGAATCATTCAATGGGGCTCAGTGTATCATCTCTCATGAGTACAAAACTTCAAGCCAGTTTTCTATGCAAATCACGCTCGCAAATGTCAATCCTAGTATAGGAGGGACGGGTGCGTCTGATCACGCAAACGCGATTATGGGTCCGAGTCATGAGAATATTGACAACAATAAGACGGCGGACCTGGATTTTGACGATGACGACCCCAGCCAGTCTGTTTCCGAGGCAACATGGAAGCAGCGTTACACAAGACTCCGTGCTCAGATGCAGAAAAAGGACCAGGCTTTGTCGCAATACAAGCGAAAGATCGTGGAATCTGTCATGGCAGACATATGACTCTTTTCAGCCGAATATGTCTCTTAGATTTATATCACGATCTTAGCATCGTGTTTTTGCCCATTTGAGAAACGTACCTTACGGGCATTTTTCATGTTTGTTTGATAGGATACCCCTTTGATTTGTTCAATCCTACGGTTTTCTTGCACTTTATGAATGAAATTCATCATCTCTGCCCCTATTTTAAGGCTGGCTTGAGACTATTTTGGACTAATACCCCATGGAAATGCATGCTACATCAAGAGCTATAGACGTTGACTCGTTAGGTTTGAACATTTCTGACTTCGAATCCTCACTGTCCTCCTAGAAATATAGAAGAAACCGAGATTTTCTTGGAAAGTATGCTTAAGGTGAAGTTAGTATAACTGAATGTCACTTATAATATCTAAACATCAAGCCGTCTCTTTTTCTTTTTCTTTCTTTCTTCTTGCTAGTCAAAGCCATAGGCAAAATGAGTGTTGTCATCTCAAGGAGGAGCCAGCATCTGTTATCTGAGAGCAAATCGAGCGAAGCTCTTTGAAGGGCCATCTCCAGACAACTGAAGCTCTTGCCTCCGTCGCTCCTCCCACGTCCCAGCAAGTTCAGCTTCTACCCGCGCGTGCTTTGCTACATCGAACAACGTCCAACTAAGTCTCATCATCGCACGAGACTGACTTCCGTCAACACGCCCGAGGAGCAGGCCATCGCCTTCCTTCTGACCTGCTGGAAAATTCTCAGAAGGGAAAGGTACGTAGCAGCCAGCTTCAACCCAGCTTTCGCACAATGTCTCCAAATTCGCAATGTTTCTCTACATTTTAATATTACCTGCTGATGTTATTGGCTATTACAGATCAATTGGGACAATGTCTCACTCGATATTGGTGTCAATATGACTGCCGAAGCGGCGTTAGTTCTTCAGCTCTGTTATGAAGCTTTTCGCAATTATTGACAACCAGCAGCAGAAAGTACTACTTCAGCATTGTGAAGAATGCCAAAGAGTTTGACCGCTCTGACAAGTATCCCGAAATCCCCGGAGACCCTTCCTGGCAGTCCGTTACGGCCGAGGAGATTGGCCCCATCGTCATTATTGAAGACTCAAATGATACATTATGTAGCGAAGATACACTTCGGATCCTGATCCATTGTCCTCACCCCTATCTACAGCCTCAAGGTCTTGTTCATTTACACATCGAGCCTATGACATACCTTTGCTTAGGGAATGAAGACAAGTATCTTTGAGTCGTCGCTAGTTCGCGGTCATTTGCAGTCTCTGCTGGTTCCTGGGCTGGGTGCTCTCTAGATAGCAACCTAATATGCTATAACTTTGATACACGGAATTTCTTCTCACTTCATTATGCAAGTAAGGGCGGGCTGGGGCTTTTTAGCAGAATATACGGTAAGCCACACATGGGCACACATTATTCATGACAGAACTAGATAGTTGTGGGAATGCGCACTGATATGTTCGAACTTTCGTTTTGTCAATAGACCACAAAGCCACTTTGTGACAAACTAAGCCGCGCTGCGAATCCTGCAATGAAGATACAAACGTACGCCCTGTGTACCATTGTCGGGTTTCTATTGTCATAGGGGACCGCTAGACAGGGATCTAACAATCAAGAATTGCCCTCCCGATGCTCCTAGTGACGCCCCTACAACAAATGTCTCCCATACAATTCTCACAAACCGAAGAGCACTTTTGCTTAGAGTTTGGCAGGTGAAGCTTAAGAATGCTTCTTCTGCTTCTCCTCCGAGCTTTTGCTCTTGTCCACGGAGCCACGTTGGGCTAAATACGTGTGTATGTGCTCGTTCACAATATCCATGATGCTCTTTGTGGCCTTGATGGTTTCCTTCGGGGGAGTCTGAGCTACCTCAGTGGGAGCCGCCTCGGTGGAAGATATCTCTGGCTGATCAATGAAGTTAGTTTCAATATCACTTGGATGCATAGAGGTTGGCTTGCCTTGCCATCGCCATAGATGTGGCCGTTGGTCAGCTTGTGTGCTTTCTTCAGCTTGGCATACTTCTTCTGAAACGACTTTCCACTAGCATAGCCAAAATCCTTGGCCACGAGCGCGAGATTGACCTGCAACTTAAGCTTAAGCATATCGACCTGGAATTCAAGCCAAAGTCTCGCAGAAACTTTCGATGAACTCTACCTTGTTTGTTTCCTTGTCGGTATGCTTCTTGATCGAGTCTAGATACTCCTGGTCCGGAGGGTCGTTCTTGTATGAAGGCATTTCTTCGGCGATCTAGGAAGGAAATCTCCAACCTCCTTCAGCAAGAGTGGATGGTTGTGAGGATAAAAGGTTCGCGGCAGCCTGGACTGAAGAGACAGTCAACTACAAGGGACGAACGAACCCAGGATACGTTTGATTCGTTTGATGCGTTCCTAGTTTTGGCTTACATCGCTTTATAAGCGACTCGTCTCCCTTGTTTTGAATCCGCATATATTCTTTTGGCAATCTAACAGTGATATGCTAGTCCAACTATACCTTTACTGCACGTCGATAAACCGTATTTATTGTGCAAACGGCGATTTGCAGGCTGTCATGGCACTATGAGCCTGTTTTATACCTTCAATAAAGAATCCAGACCTGGCTTCTCTTGTAAAAGGATTTTTGCACGAAAATTGCAGAGAAAGCAGGTCACAGCAAGATAGCAGGGTTGGTTCGCCAAAACACCAGTTACAGGCAACTACCCAATCCATTTTACATCTATATCCTATAATTGAATGATTCCCAGGTCAGTGTCTACATCTAGCTATGCGCGAAATGTAAGGCAAATTGCTAATGCACCTGGAAATAATATATTTCCCCACTCAAGACTTTATCATAAATCAACCTATGAATGCATGCTACCACCGCCAAATGAAACATAATTCCTTGTAGGGAGAACCAATCATACCATGCTTCACTTTAGTAAGTGGGTGAAAACAGCGAGACTAAATCAACGGTACTAGCTAATGAGAATATGAAGGCCCTTCTAGTCTCCAACAAAACCTGATCAATCTTGAATATTTTCAACTTTGACCACAACAGGATTGTCCTCCTGGTTTCCTGTGCTCTGTATCCCCTCCTCGATCTGCTGTTCTTCTTCCATTTTTACAGTCGGGCCTTCCTGGCGAGATGGAGGGCGTGGTTCCCAGGTGATGGTTGGGGCATAAGTGGTTGAAGGATTTATTTGTCCAGATTCCAGCAAGTCAAAGCTGGATTGAATGTTGGGCGATGAACAAGGATAACCGGCTGATGCAGTTGGGAACTGGTATGGATTCATGAAGGACGATGATGTTGCGGGACTAGGTGATGATATCCCAGGTGGTATGCTTGACGCCAGCCGGAACGGCATCGAGGCAAAATCTTGAGGAAAGTAATACTGTCCTTCGGTGCTGGCCTCTAACATCAACTGTGGGTAGTTCTGCAGGAGGCTCTGTAGATTTGTATTGCCTTGAGTGCCCGACTCGCACTTTACAAAGGGATCTCCCGGAAGAGAAGAATCAGTCGATTCCATGGTAGGCATCATGAGCGGCGGAGCCATTGGGAATATTCCTTGCATCTCAGCAGGGGGCTCCATGGTCTTTCCCTTCTTGGCCTTTCGCTTTGGTTTGCTTGCTCCTGAGTTTCCTTCCATCTGTTGTCGGAAGCGGGAATACCGCATACGAGCAGCATGACCATTGGAGACTTCGACATCGGAGGCGACCCGATTCCAATCGACCTGTCATATTCAAATAAGTTTAAATCAATCTTCACCTAATGGTTGGGAAATAAACTGACCGACTTCAGATCCAATTGCTTGATGATCGTGTAGAGGAACTTTGCAGTGGGAGTGTCAGTCTCTAAGACTTTATTCCGCTGACCCATGGCTGAGAAGGTGATCTCAGTGATGGAATGATAAAAATGATGTTGTGAGGACACTAGGAGGATTCATGAACAGTTTAGATCGGCTATATAACTGGTACAGAATAAAAAGATCATTGGGACATGCAAAGCGCTTGCCGACCACATCAATGCTTGCTTTGTACTCTGCAAATGTAAGAGAGATTTGTAAGAGAGATTAAGATGTGTGCGAATCATATGCCTCCTGGTACGGGTCTAGCAATCTGGTTTGCCTTATCCAACGCCAATTTCATCCTGCAGTATCCCGCCTGATTCTTTATACCTATGCTTTAGGAGGCATGTCAATGCTTTTTAGTATTTACAGTCCAACAAAGAGATTGAAAGAGAATCATTCTTTCCTTACAGATTCTTAGAAAGACTAAATGGTTAGGTCGTTGTATTAAGTTATGCAGTGGGCACGTGCCCCGTATAATGTTCACGTGATAGCCATTACCCTAGTCCGACCTATGTCGAGGGATTAATCTTCTCAGTGGCAATAAGAGGATACAGCCTGAAGTCCATTCGAGAGACTAACTCCTTGATCACTATACCTGAAGGCCTTTGATAAATAAATTCGCTCGTTGTGGACCATGCGTAGTACTACAAAACTACTATGTACAAAATGATTTTTGATGCCAAGACAAACGTACAGGAGTAGGCTTTAACGACACACTGACTAATTTAGCCCCACACCCAACCTTGGAAAGCCACGGCTATCCTCGACGTGATCAACGACATTGGTTAAATAGATGATCAAATCCCACGAATACTAACTCTCTCTTCCGAGAAACAGAGATAGACTCTAGCCAACATCATCATCGTCATCATCATCATCATCATCATGACTTTAGTAGCTATAGGGGCGTGCTATCTTGACACAATTCTAACGTAAGTTCTTTCCGCTGTGTCTTTTGGGAGTTACTTGCGTTTATAAAGTATGGTATTCACATGCTTTGGTTAGAACACCCCATTACCCAGGTGAAGATGAGAAGCTTCGTGCATCCAAAATTAGTCGTCGGCGCGGTGGGAACTGCCCAAATACTCTCGAAGTTCTAGGCCAATTGTTACAATATAGGCCATCGAATGCCGAATCATCCTTGAATCTCATCACTGTCCTTCCCTCCAAAACATCAGTGGCATCTCATCAAATCCAATCAAGCTTAGAGAATATGGTTCGGCTAGATAGTTGCATTTACCGAGAGACATTCAATGAGCCAGCTTCCAGTTACATTATCGCAAGCCAGGCCACCGGCAGTAGGACGATCGTTAATTACAACGAGCTCCCCGAGATGACTTGCGCTGAGTTCGCATCTGCTGTTGAGCCCCTACGCGCCGTAGCTAATCGACCCTGGTTTCATTTTGAGGTACGTTAAATATTGGTTAGGTGCTCCAGCTGGTCACGGTCACAGACATGCTAACTTGGACTCAGGGCCGTGCACCAGATGTAACATTGGAATGTATTCATTATATTCGGAAACATTTTCCAGAAGCTCAAATCAGTGTTGAGGTGGAAAAGCCAGGCCGGCCAGGCTTGCAGGAGCTTGCAGACGAGGCAGACGTTGTTCTCTACTCGAAGGGCTGGGCCCAGGTGAGATTCCATTTTTGGCTTTTTCCAATCACCTCTAACAGCTGAGCAGAACCACGGATATACATCTGCCGAGGATTGTTTGCGGGATCAATCGTTGAAGATAAGCCGAGTGTAGGCTTTACTGTCCCAGTCCCCATACAAATAATCTAATCTATCATTTATAGATCCTTGCTGTGCTGTACTTGGGGTCATGACGGGGCTGCAGCACTTGAACCAAAGACTGGCAACTTTGCTCATGTCCCCGCGCATACTGAAGGACTGGGAGTCATCGAGTGAGTTTTGACCTTGTCGGTGTAACACAGCACAAATTAGACCATACTGATAGTTTATAGCACCATCGGAGCTGGAGATACATTTAATGCTGGCTTGCTATACGGTCTCATCTATCGGAGTCAGGATTGGGATTTCCGAAAGAGATTGGAATTTGCAAATCTTCTTGCCGGCTTGAAGGTCACTCAAGAGGGCTTCGCAAACCTGCAGAGAGCGTTGAACTTTCCGTCATATTCGTCCTCCCTTTACTAAACAGAAATCTATCAAATCTCTAGATCTTCCCCTTTAAAGTCAAACCAGAATATTTAGCCGCCTATACAGCCTGGTGTCGTCTTAGTAGTGGTCCTTTCAGTAGTCTTTTCAGATATTCTGTTTATATATCTTTGGGATATTTCCTAGCGGCTTAATTTGTGCAGACGACTTTTCCATATACAACGTGGGATATTTAGTCGAAGAATCTTGTTGCCACTTATCTTCTATGCTTAAGTTGAGCTGTTTGGAATCAGAATGGTCGTAAGCTACAATACTTTGATGCTCTATTGTTAGACCAGTTTAGACAATATGAGTGGAATGAAGATATATATATAGACAGAATTGGAGACTTTTTAGATCCGTTGAACTTCAGCGTACTACTTAAAGTAACATTAGACAAATAACTCGCAAGACGCTATGTAGTGATCGCATAATCTAAAATTATAAAGCAATGTGTAAAACACCAACAAATACATTCATGGATGCTTTTAGTTATCACATTTGAAAAAGGCACCTTAATTGTTTGGCAGGAAAATAGGGCGGTAAAAAATGGCAAATATATCGATAGCCCACCTGCACGTGACACAGCAAGGTTCAGGGCGGTGGAAAACAAAAAATATTCTGCCATCAACTTTTTGATCTCGGCCTTCTTTTGCACGATTAATTTCAATTCCATTTTTTGACACAATCAACAGTCACCATGGCATCAGTTTACAAGAGTGTCTCAAAGAAGGCGGCTAGACAGCCCACCGAAGATATGTCTGACGAGGACATCGAGATGGAGGAGCTCCTCAATGCGGAAGACGACACCACAGATAGCGAAGAGGAAGAGTCCGACGACGGCGAGCCAGCTGAGGTTGTGAAGAAGCAGCTTGCTTCTGGATTCATGCCCAAGACCCGAGTACTTATCTTGACCTCCAGAGGCGCTTCTTACCGGTATGAATATTGCGCCTTTAGATATGTGCTGAATCAGTTTACTGATCTGACAATTTGTTTTTCTCTAGCCACCGACACCTGATGGGCGATATCTGCGGCCTCCTCCCCCATGCCCACAAAGAGACTAAGCTCGATACGAAAAAGAAAGCTGCCGGATACAACCTCCTCCTGAACTCTCTTGCCGACCTGCACTCGTGCAACGTTATCTTCTTCCTCGAGGCGAAGAAAAATGGCCAGGATCTTTACCTCTGGCTTTCACGCCCTCCTAATGGCCCCACTATTAAGTTCCACCTCAACAACTTGCACACAATGGGCGAGCTCGGCGCTGGATTCGCAGGAAACTGCCTCAAGGGCGGCCGTGGCTTGGTCGTGTTCGACCGCTCCTTCGATGAGCAAGGCCCAGATATGGGCGCTCCTGGTAGCGAATACCGTGCGCTTGTTCGGGAGATGCTGCGCGGAGTTTTCTGTGTGCCCAAGCGTGGTGTCAGAGGCATGAAGCCATTCGTCGATCGCATCATCGGTATCTTTGGAGTGGACGGCAAGATCTGGATTCGCGTTTATGAGATTCGCGAGTCTGAGCCTGGTAAGAAGAAGGACGGCGAGGAGACTGTCAAGCCAGTACCAAGGGGCAAGGACTCCCCCCTGCCCGAGGTTTCTCTGGTTGAGATTGGCCCCCGCTTCGTTCTGACCCCCATCGTCATCCTCGAAGGCAGCTTTGGTGGACCCGTCATCTACGAGAACAAGGAGTACGTCAGCCCCAACCAAGTCCGTAGCGACATCCGACAGGGCAAGGCTGGCCGTTACTCCCAGCGCCGAGACGGCCAGACTGATCGGGTGGCCAAGCGCTCCGATCTTGGACTGTCTGAGAACTCTGTGCGGAAGGTGGATGCGTTGGACACAAGGAAGCTGTTTGCATAGGGGGTTTATGTTTTTGTTTCGTCGTGCTATTTCTAGACTTGATATCCCTCGGGATGATGTTTCGACTACATGTGTATATTTGATGCGACGCTTTCATCATGGTCCGTTAAGGCGTCAGGGCAAAGTCTCATCCTGGTTAATTTCAAAAGTTGAATTATTTCTATTTGTTCCTTGATTTTGCCTGGTTCATTGCGATCCCGGGAGCTTTGTCTTCAGGGTATGTAACCGGAAGGGCAGATTAGTTGGACCCCTGGGCAGACGCAAGGGGCAACATTAGCTAAGCGTTATATAAAGCCCTCGACGCCATCCGTCGCCCAAGGTCCATCTTTGCCTCTGGACACCATCTATCATGGCATCATTTTTGTTGGCTAGCCCTATATGGCTACAAGGAAATTGCCCTTCCAATATGTTTACTCTTGATCCCACACTATCTCTTGCTTCTGTTAGCCCCAACGGCGGGGTCCGTATCTAATAGGCCCACTGTACACACGACAAGTGCTGATTGCTTTGGTGACAACGCTCTTGATTTATACATCAATCCTCGAAATTCAACCGTCTTTCTTTCTTTCAAATTACCTGATACAAATAACAACCTCTCATCAGGTAAGTCAATCATCCATTATCACTTTATGAGTCATTCTAATGGTGTTATTCTTTACAGAAACAATATAGATATTCCCATCATGCCAATTCATCATCTTGCAACAGAGCTTCTGCTCCATATATTTCGCTCATGCGACTCAGTCTCCGATGTCTTGAACTTATCAGCCATCTGCCGTCGACTGCACCACGTCTTCAACTCAACAAGCAAATTGCATATCCTAGCAAGTGTCGCGGAGACTGAATATGGTCCCCTTGACGATGTCATTCAAGTCGTGACACAAAATGAGAGCCAGCCCGCTCATCTTATCCGACATGCGCCTATGTCTGATTCCCTTCTGAACCAAGTCATTCATCTCGGCCAGGTGGCGCGGAAGTGGGAGACGATTTACCCGTTTAAGAAGTGGAAGATAGACTTCGAGAATCGTCGCTCGCTCACCGATGAGGAGCGACTACGGCTGCGCCGCGCAGTATATCGATTATGGCTGTACCACAGTGCATTCCACTCTCGTGTTTATGATCGCCATTCTCGTAGTCTTCGCCATGTGGTGTTGGAGCGCGCCCAGTTGCTCCACAACTGGTCCACCCAAGAGCTGGCCGAGATTGAGGATTTGCGCCTCGTCATGGGTGATATTGTACAGAATCACATCTGTCCTAGTAATGTGACAATTCAACGCAAATTTCGCAAGCGTTATCCAGACAGCAGCCAGCAACTCTCGTTCAATATCCACCTCAATTATCCTCCCCATTCAACTACTTCTCTGTCTTCGCATGATCACTCTTTGCTTCAGAAAGGTCCTGACACCTCAATTCAACAATACTTTCATACGGCCCACCCAGGCAACTATGCCGAGTCGCCAGCCAAATACCGGTCTCGATTCCGCAATGACCTTTCCCATGACCCAGGGTACGAAGGTTGGGGTGACGAGATCCCGCATTACTACATTATGCAGGACATGCTGAAGTTGGACCCTGGTCAGATATTATGGCTACGCGACCATGCTTTGCTGAAGGAACAGGTAGAAGAGTATGTATGGTCTCTGGGGGCATGGTTCCGCAACAACGGTGAAACGTTTGGCGATACGTTGGAATATGTCATGAATGAACGTGGTCTCGAGGTTGGGGAATTTCGATCTGCAGTGGCTGCTCGTGACATGGGCATTATCCTAAACTAGATTTATACTTGTCGACCTTTTGATATAATCGAAATATACGAATTCCCTGTCAGCGCTCTAAATTGTAAATATCCCTCCTTAGCAACCTGGCGCCTGCAAGGTTGTCCCGAGGTCCAAGCGCTAATTATTAATATGGCGCTATAAAACCTTGGGCCCGGAGAAATAAATTGCCCTGTGGAGCACGTGGATCCTATCTTCGACGCATTGACACTGTCTCCTTACTATGTTGGACGAATTCTACTAAAAGGGGTGGATTGAATATACGATTTTGAGAATTTTCATACAAAAGCCACGCAGCCGCAATGTTAGACGCCCAACAAAGGTCATTGCACCAGCCACTGTGTTCATCATCGTAGAAACATATCAAGCACACTAGCTGGGCGAACAGAAAAAAAAGGGGATCAATTTCGTCGACCACGGGGAAACGAACAAAAAAAAGACGGAAGAAGGGGAATCCGACAGCTGGTAACATCGATTCCGGACCCCTACCTTCCCGTGTGGTTTCTCTAACAGATCCCGCCTGTGTATCATCTTTGTAGCCGTCGAATTTCAGACTCTAACACAGATCAAGACCATCTCAGTATCACATCGCAAAAGGAGAGTCGTGGCAGTCGGTGCATCGTCCTTGTGAGGGGTAATTTAGCAGCAGCCCGGCTTTTGCTCGCTGTCTTGCTTGCTGGGGTCGATAACGGGACGGCGGTCGAGGACCTGCTGGCCACCCTCTCCGGAGTCGAGAGCCTTACTGGAAACGATGCGGTAGATTTCTATCGAAATTAGCATGCTATACCAAATTCCAAGGGATAGACAACCAACCTGTAAGGATGTTCTGGAAGGCCAGCTCAACGTTACTGGCATCAAGAGCGGAGGTCTCGATGAATGAAAGGTTGTTCTCGCCTACTGAATGTCAGCGCCATACAATGAAACCGACTTTCGGGAAACGCACTAGCAAACTGCTTGGCCTCCTCTGTGGGGACCGCACGCAGGTGGCGCAAATCGCTCTTGTTACCAACGAGCATGATAACGATGTTCGAATCGGCGTGATCCCGTAGCTCCTTCAACCACCGGTTGACATTCTCGTAGGTCTGGTGTTTGCTGATATCGTAAACAAGGAGGGCACCGACAGCACCACGGTAGTAGGCAGAAGTAATCGCACGGTAGCGCTCCTGGCCAGCGGTATCCCAAATCTGTGCCTTGATTGTCTTCGAGTCGACTTGAATCGACCGGGTCGCGAACTCCACACCGATCGTTGACTTCGAGTCCAGGTTGAATTCGTTGCGGGTGAAACGACTCAAGAGGTTAGATTTACCAACACCAGAGTCTCCAATAAGCACCACTATTTACTCCACAATACCTCCGCTGTCAGCCTCGAAATCTTTTGGGAGGGGGTACAAGGAAGGGGAGGGCGGGCATCAGCATAAGGTGGCGACGTTACCTTTGAAGAGGAACTGTGGGTGGTATCATCATCAGCATATACTTCTGAGACATGAAGAAGCTCGTCGTCTTAAATCAACTCACGTCATATTCGTCGTTGGCCATTTTGAATGTAATCGAGCTAGTAAAGCTCGAAAGGTGGTATCAAAGTACAGGTAAACGTGGCGGATAAGTGAAGACTGAGGGGTGTATTTGGTAACTTGAGAGGGCGAAAGCGAGATACGTCAGTACTAAGCTCGCAGCAGGTAGAAAGGAAACCAGAGGAGCGCACACACGGGAAGTAATAGAGAATCAACAGGGGATAGTCAGCGATGCCTGGGCCGAGTGTCTCTCCTTAATCGTTCCCACCCGTTGTGGCTTAGTGTGGGGATCACGTGTGTTGGCGTTTGGCGCGCGGGCGGTATCTTTTATCTATGGGCAGTAACCGTCAACTTTCTTTGTTCTTATTGCTTTTCCTTTTGCTCTTATTAGTTTGCTTTTTCCCCTTAATCTTTTTCATATCCAATGAATATGAAATACGGTAGGCTTTCGCTCTATCTTGATATCCCCGATGCCCCGCAATTCAGTCTCAATCCGAGCACGGTCTTGCTTCCACCTTGGGCATGGGGCATTGGAAGCTGCACAATGAAGCCTTTGTTGACTTAATTTAGCAGGATACTACAATGGCATCAGATTCTGAAATGAACAATGCCTTTGATGAAAGTGGAGTTGGTGATGCCGACTCTCTGGCATCTACCGCAGCAAGTGAAGAGGAAACCGAGTATCTCGTGAATGACATCCATGCGGAACGGAGGTTCTTCGTAGAACCGGATTCTGAGGATGACGAGGGCATCTTTATCACTCAGTATTTGGTCGAGTGGGCTGGGTACAGCATAGACAGGTGCAGTTGGGAGCCGAAGGAAATGTTCACTTCGGAAGAGACTCTAGATGGCTGGGAAGAGAAAAAAAGCAGATCGCGGAGGGCAAGGTGACTCCCTTCGATCTCAAGTCATGGGAGAAGCATACGGCCTTGTTGGAGAACAAGAAAAAGAAGCGAAAAGAAGAGCGAAGGCGCAAACGAGAACAAAGGGCACGTAAGAAAAGCCTCCCTCGGGCTGGCTCGTCTCGACTGGCCAATCCCGATGTTGTAGATTTCCATGAGCCCGAAGCAGGTATTGCATCACACCGATCCAGTCGCCTCTCCGTCGATTCCACCGCTTCGGCCTTGTTTGTTCCATCTGAAACCCCTCCCCCATCAAAAAAGGTGACGTCTCGCCAATCGCAGCAACAAATAGCACCTCCGGGATCAGCTATCTCCAGCGCGCAAGCAACTCAGAAAGATCCTCTGAAATCAACAACATTGAGTGCACAAACGCCAACAACCCTAAGCCAGCTTCCAAACTCCCGATTTGCTCAGCTCGCAAAGAAGAGTACTGCCAAGCAGAAAGCCCCGGTGCGCCAGAAGAGCCCACCACAAGTACCAAGGCCAATATTGTCTTCTTTTGGTACGGGCCCGGGGGCCAAGCGCGCATACCGTGATAATAAATGGGGCGAACGAGCACCGGATTTGTCACAGATGGAGCTGATGAAGCCTTCTGAATTTGCACCAAGGATGAACATAGGCTCCACTACCTCAGTCGTGGGTCCATCTGTAACAAGTCTCAAATCCCCGGAAGCCCAAAATCAACCTGCTCCTGAGAATCCAGTCAGCCTGCCTGATCGACTAAAGCCAGGCACTGGTCAAATAAGCGATAAAGCTGTAGAGCAGCCAAAGAAACCTATTGTTCTCGCGCCCTCATCAGTCATGGCTCCTCCAGTGCCTCGCTCTTCGAACTTAGGCTTCACTACATCGGTTTCCTCGTCGGCTGTGTTGCCTGCCCCCAGTGCGCCGTCGAATCTAGAGAGACCTGTTGGCCCCGTAGATTCCACTATCTCTATTTCCTCGCCAGCTACCCAATCAAACCCCGTTCCACAGGCCAATCTCATCCAGCCTGGCGATTCTGCCAATTCTATTGTCTCTATTGTTTCGCCGCCAGGTGAGGCTCCTTTGAAGAATCCTGCTGGGCGGTCAACCTCTGCCCTTACTGCGTTCTCGCCAGCTTCTTATCCCCCGTCACAGGTCAATATCGACAGGCCTGCCGGTCCTTCGGTGTCTACTAGCTCAGTCTTCCCTTCAGCTATTCTTTCGGGGACCCGTACGGAGGCTACTTCGATGAAATCTGCTAGACTCACGGGTTCTAACCTTACTCCTTTCTCGCCAGCCATTCCGACCAAGCCCCGTGCAATGGTCGGTCTCGACAGGCCTACTGAGAATCGAGACTCGCAAGAAAGCCGAGAGACAATCCGAGGTTGGGACAGCTATAGACCAGACTCATCCAGAAAACCTAACACAATCATGGCCGATACCTACCGACCGTCAGAGCTCTCTCGTCGGCCATCGCCCTCTCGACGATCACCACTCCGTCGACGATCGCCACCCTCTCGTCGGTCACGGTCACGGTCACCACTCCGTCGACGGTCTCCTTCTCGTCGGTCACGGTCCCCGGGTCGAGCACCAAGATCTTCTTTCCGTGATGCGAGTGGTAGTTACGCACCTCGTAGCCCATCTCCGAATTATTCTCAGCTTGCGTCAAGATCCTCAAACTCAATGGGGTTGAATGAAAACCTATCAGCCAAAGCCGAAGCACTTGCTCCCACCGAATCCGGAGCTGGAGCATCTGGTCAGCCTAGGGCTTTCATCGCGACCCAAATTCCAAAAATGCCGGCGCGTATGGCTTGGCCGCCTATTCGCCTCAAGATTGGTCAATACTGGTGCTTCAAGGGAGAAGCTCTTATTCACGTGTTTGTCGGGCCCAACAGGAGACCCCTTGGTGCTTTCAGATTATGCGGCATCCGTTCACAGGTCCAGCAATCTTTGATTCTTGCTAACAAAATGAACACACACCAAGTTGAGGTTTGGTTTAAGCACCTGTGCACAGTCAGAGACTACGAAAGATTATGCGAATCCAGTGTCAGTACCGGATCCGTAAATTTGTCTATATAATGCTAACATCGGCTACAGGAGATGAATTCTGTGCTGAGTACCGGCTGGATCGAGGGCTTCAGCGACACCAGCAAAAATCTCTTTGATCTAGCAGAGGATCTGCGAAAGGACGACCTCATCGCCATTCACTATCCTATGGGGAACAGAGACAGTGCGGGAATTGTCTGGGTTGTTTGGTCACGCGGGTCACAGGAATTTAAGTTTCCACGTCCTAATGATGAAGTGCCACCCGACGTTCCTCTACTCATTGCCGCTCGCACTATGCTCGCACCGATAAAAGTTCTAGGAGCAGCTGGATCTAGCCTGCCCAGCGGGCGACCCAGTGGGCTTTTGCCAGATACATCTTCACTGCGCCTCGAGCCTAGTGCAGATGATGGCCTAGAGTCTGGCAGTCCCAGACAGTCAAACTTCCATGATATGAGAATGAGTGGATCCTTGCAACCGCGAAAGATGCCGGCCCCAGCGATTCAAAGCTTTTCGCCCGCAAGTGAGCTCAAGGATAATTTAATTGGCGCTAACCCACCCCAAGCAAAAATTGCAGATCAAGCGGACCAAGCCGGCCACCAAACGGTTGAAGAGTTCTTGAAGAAAACCCTCAAAATCAATGTGGAAGAACTTGCGACAATTGAGGAAGGCGGGAAACCTTCAAAAGCTGGTATTTTCTATTTGCACTTTCCCTCGGGCAATGAAGAAGTACAAGAAGAATTGCAACTTTTGAAGGCACACCTCCTGGAGTACCATGAGAAGATTGTATTAACAAGCGACAATCCTGGAGATTGGGAAAAATTTGTGCAGAACAGCAGACAGGGCGTGGCCATAGTATGTGATCGATATTTACATGCTTACAATTGTCAAACTAACCGGTAGTAGTTTCACGAATCATTCGTCAGATACGATACGTTGCAGCCTCCGCTCAATTCTGTGCTTCCTACCCATTCGTTCAACTATTGGATTGTTCGCATTCGCAGACCACTCGAATTAGTTGATCCCCGCTTTTGTTCACCTAGTGACCACCATCTACGCATATTTCCATATGGCGGTGTCATACTTCTCACTGAAGACGTATTGACAGACCTAAAAGGGGTGGCCGTCACTCTCCAATGGATTCGGAATGCAAACAGGAACAAGCGCAAATCTTGGACCTTGATGTTCCCTCCCCGCATACTTGAATGGATCGAAAGGAGACTCGACGATGAAAATCACTCACAAGATCATGGACTGTATGTCATACCTCTTTACTGCTATTTGATTCAAGCTTCTAATGAACCTATATATAGTCTGCTGCTTATCCGCACGTTGATCATCAAGAACAACGTCATGGACCCTCGTACAGCCTTGTTCGATGAAGCCAGTCTACAGCCTAACTCAAAAAGCAACGTCATCGCACCTTCTATTAATGAATACGGTACTCGCACAGAGCACCATAACCTTAAAATCAAGAAAAAGTCGAACGCGACGCAGATCATCTGATCGAATTCTTCGCTGGGTGGTCACTGATTAACATACCACGTTTCCGGAACTTCATTGCTGTCACCTCTCTCAATGCCCCCGCTGCACGATGGGATAAATGGGGTCATGTGACTGTCATGCAGGGTGGCTTCCGCCATTTTTTCAAACGTTTCAAAGTGGACTCCGTGGGCCTGATGACCTACCTGTCAGGGTCAGGTGGCTCTAGTTCTAAGCCACGGCCTTCTACTGGCCAAGTAGCTACCCCGTCGAGCGCAACCACACCCCAGACGCCCAATTGGGCATCTCACAACGCGAACGCCTCTATTCCAGCTACCTTCACAGGCAGCCCGAACGACAATGGCACGAACAAGTACCCTGCTCCCTACAAATGATGTCCTACGAAGTTCGGATCAAAGCAGGTTACACCGCATATACTCCTCTTCCTCCTTTTGCACAAACTTTGACGATACCCCTGTTTCTGTATGTATTATGTCTAGAGCTCTACGAGGCCACGAAATGAATACCCCAATCAATGTCTACATATGTAACTTGTAGCCATGTATACTACTTTTGTCTGATTGTGTTCAAAGTTGAGACCGAACGCTCGAGCAGTAACGGAAGACCTATCATATGAACATTCGGAATTTCCAAAAGTATAGCTTTGCTAAACTGCACGCTAATTGCCGCCAATGCAACTGTGAGACGAAGAATAACACCAGATATGAAAAGTCGCCGGGGCAGAGATGAAAGCATACCATTTATTTACACCTAACCAGTCGCTCGATTCTGGTACTCCGGGAAGTCCGACACATTGGAGTCCTCCGCATTATCTTGCGTTGTAGTCTTTTGAGCCTGGTCCTTCTTTCCCCCGCGAGTCTTTGCTTCCCACTGACTTTCCTCGGCTGAAATCATAGCATTGAAACGCCCGCCCTGTCCACGGGCAAGGTAGATGGGCTGTTCTTTGCGCTCGGCCACAGCCTGGTTCACGAGGACGAATTTCACGCTCGAGCCTGGCGCTTCGAACATAGCGTCACTGAGAATGGTCTCCATCTCGGTGCGTAGCGCGCGTGCGCCGGTGCCCATTGTGAAGGCATTGGCGGCGAGCTTGTGGAGTGCTGGTGTGGTGAAGCGCAACTCGATACCCGAGAGGGAGAATAAGGTCGTGTATTGGGCTAGAAGGGAGTTGCGGGGTTCGGTTAGGATGCGCATAAGTAAGGGTTGAGACAGGGCGGAGAGAGCGGCGGTGACGGGAATCCTGCCGATCAGCTCTGGGATGAAACCGTAGCTTTGCAGGTCTGAGGGTGTTAACAGGTCAAGTGCGTTGAAATAGGTTGGCTCGGCGCCAGAACCGGCTGGCGAGGCAGAGGAGAAGAAGGGGAGGTGCTTCTTATATAGCGCTTCTTCCTCAGACCCTGGGAGGATTGGAAGTGGCTGGTTGGTAGAGATATTTGGCGAGCCAGGGAAATCACTAGTATTTGAGGGGGTCCGAACAGGCTGACCAAACCCTATGGACCCACGGGATATTCGATCCATGATAGATTTGTGCAGTCCAACGAAGGCGCCAGAGAACACGAACAAAATGTTGTCTGTGCGCACATTGTACACTTCTCCCTTGGCGGCTGGGCTGGGGTTGTGGGGTTGAAATGTCCCATTCCCCAAGGGACTGTTGGAGGGATAGCTATTCGGGGCACTAGTTGCGCGGGGGTTCTTCTCTGGCTTGGCCTGGACCTGCACGGTTGTGCCTTCGATGATCTTGAGAAGCGCCTGCTGTACTCCTTCGCCACCGACATCTTTGCCATGACTGACCTTTGCAGCTGCAATCTTGTCCACCTCATCAAGGACAATAATTCCACGCTCTGCCTGCTCCACGTTGTAGTCCGCAGCTGCCAAAAGTCGGTGAACACACACTTCTGCATCCTCTCCAATGTAACCGGCTTGCGTGAACACAGTGCAATCGGAAATACTGAAAGGCACAGAAAGCACCCGAGCAAGAGTCTTTGCCATAAGTGTCTTCCCTACACCAGACGGACCAAGTAACAAAATATTGGACTTTTCAAGCTGTAGCGGTGACGTATCGGTGAAATCGGATTGCTCTAAGGGGGTGTTTGGGCGGGATTTCGGGGGTTGAGGTATACTGGTGTTCTTGTGCACCCCTGTGATATCATCTGTTGTATCGAAGAATAAATCAGGAACTGAGTGACAACATCAAAAATCAATAGGTGATATACCGTCTAAGGGGTGAAACTCGAGTGCCTCCCTCCGCTGACGCTTCGCGAGAGATTCGGCTGCTTCTTCCTGCCGGCGCATTAACTCCTGCACGCGCTGGTAGTGATTGTACACAGCGACACTGAGCACTTTCTTTGCTCGATCCTGACCAACGACATATTGATCGAGATACTGCTTTAACACTTTCGGTGTGATGCGGGGTGCGCCAAAAGCCGGGGTTGATCCTAATGGCCCGAGAGTAGGGCCTCCCGTTTCACAGCTACCAGTAAAGGGTTGGCTGGTAAATTCTGACCGATTGAATTGAGACGATGTCGGAAATTTGGAGGAGCTAGCCAGTTGGCGTGTTGGCCAGTATGATTGAGGAAGCCGATACCGGACAATGTCACGACGAGCCAAGGTGGCCGGAAGGCGAAGCTGTAAGTGCCGCCACAGCATTGCTGGGCGCCAGTTGATCACAGGGGGTTTATGAGAGGCGAATAGAGAGAGCCCAGAAGACGCAGAGTAAAGGAAGGATGATTGGAGAGCGATGGATCAGATACCGGTTAGCCAAGGTTCCCCGCATGGGGGCAGGTGATCTTATCTGATGAGTCATCGGGCCGATGATAGACCGGCTATTCATAGCTATTCACAGCTAAATTCAACTACAAGAAGCAATCGAAGGAAATCGAGAGCTATATTTGGCGCTCAAAGCCTGGCATATCTCGGCCTCCGGCAATCTTGCAGATCATACCGCCGGAAGGCTAAGCCTGAAATCATCGCAACGCCCAAATACAGGGAGCACTATGATGTCACAGAGGAACATACCTCGTCTATACTCCAAGGACCTTTTGCTCAGCGCTGTCAACCCAGCTTGAAGAAAAGCCATTACTTATCTGGCGATTGTTCGAAGTTGGTATACTAACGCAACACTTGTGCAGCAGTATACCGTCATGCAAAATGTCATAGATGTCGAATCCATCTAGTCCGATCCGTGGAGGGGGAAATATGGCGTTCATCTCAATAAGCAAATGCCTATGTAGTTTCCAACACTCATTCCGAGACACCAACCCTCATCTCTACAATTTCAAGCAGGCATGAGATCAACGGAGACTTTTAATCTCCCAGAAAGAGTTGAGCAGCGAGGATTGGGATGATGCAGAACCGCACTTGAGAACATAAGCTGGATAGAAACCTAGCTCTCTCAAGGTGTTGAAGGCGCTATAATATTTGAGTTGTTGCAAATTCGGTTCTGATTTCTACGATAAAAAAAGTTGTAGGATAGTAAAATAGATGCAGCTCTTTCATGACAATGATGGGTATTTGGTTATTGGTCTCTAATGTCGAAAGCTGTTCGATAGCGTCCGTAGCCCTAGAAGGAGGCCGGAAAGTGTTGGATTCCCAAGGAATATAGGAATGCTTGAGCCGCAAGACCTGATTAGAACCAGGTGTAGATTTCACCGTTCAGATCCAATAGAAGCAAGTGGTTCGATCGTGTTTTGGTTGAGCGCAGTACACTCCAGTGTATTTCCAGTGTATTCGCCTAAACTCAACTTTTAGAAGAGTCTTTGGATGCATTTTTCACCTCATTGCCGGAGTTCACTTGTTAGACAGATATTCACGGCTAGCGGCAACCAGAGTGGCTCGGTCACCGAGAAATTTTGATTTTCATGCTGGCCACCCTTATTTATTCTCCTTGAACACAGGCTGTTGTTCCATCGTCTGTGAGATGAAGTTGCGCAGGGCCGACCACCGACCGGCTGTCGGATTCGACTGGGTGCTGGCCTCATTGTTGGCAGCCGGGGCTGATGTGATGTTGGACATCTCGGTCAGGTTCTTGTTGAAGCGGTCTCGCTCCAATTTCTCGAGTTTTTCCCGGCGTTTCAGGGAACCTGGCTTGTGTCTCAAAGTCTTCTGCTTGATCACGTTCACTTGACTGGCGGCATCGTTGGATTCTTCCGCCTCGGGCAAGGCATCGGCCAAAGATTCGAGGTTGGCGACAAGTTTTTTTGATGCTCGTCGGCGCTTGGGAGTCTTCTGGGAATTTTTCTCAATCTTAGACACGAGGGCAGCATGCTTGATCTGACGCTTATCCCTTTTGGTCGTGCGAAATTCGTCACCAAAGACACTGGGTTTGGCTATCGCGCCTCTGCCCGAGGCAGTCTTTGATTTTCGAATAGGAGCCTGTGAAGATAGGACGATAATTAACCGGCTGAAAGTGGAAGATAAGTAGTGTAACTTACCATGTTGACATGTGAGATCTACGGAGAGCACAGTAAAAGACGAAATTGCGACGGGGAAAAGCGAAAGGCCGCCAATCCTTCACCGCCCGAATCCACAATCCCCACCCTTTTTTCCAGGAACTCAACGCTGTTTGGCTCCAACGGACTATTCCCGAGGTCAGGTCAATAAATAATATTTGTCAAAAGGCAAAAAATATTTATTAAAACAGTCCGTGACGTTATCAAGTTCTCGTTGCTCCGAAGTTCGACGTCTTTCCTGTGACATCAGAAGTGATCAGAAGGCAATCCCGGAAAAAAAAAAAACTGAAACTGGGGTCCCAACGCGACAAAATATATGGATATACGCCTCAACCTACGTCGGATTTGCGTTCCTCACTCTACCATATTTCTACCTCGGTCACCCACTCGGTTCCAGACCCGATTCATAATTCCACCTTTGCCCCCGCTGAATCCTTTGCCTTTTAAATCCACCTTCTCCGGACATCTCTCCCGCAGGTCAATTGTCTCTTCTACAAACATCATGGGTTCTCTCGGTCCTTATCAGCGCAAGCACAAGATCACGGTGGTGGGCTCCGGTAACTGGTAATCAGTCCCTAAAAGGACTGCCATGAATTTGTGCTAATTGTGTTTCTCAATAGGGGCTGTGCCATCGCTAAGATCGTCGCCGAAAATGCCTCCAGCAACCCCGAACTCTTCGAGGAGAAGGTAGAGATGTGGGTGTTTGAGGAGAATGTCGAGATTCCAAAGACTTCTAAGAACTACAATGCCTCGAATCCCGGCCCTCAGAAGTTGACTGAGGTGATTAACAATGTCCACGAGAATGTCAAGTACCTCCCAGGAATCCAGTTGCCAGTCAACCTGCACGCCAACCCATCCCTGGAGGATGCGGTGAAGGACAGCACACTCCTCATATTTAACCTCCCCCATCAGTTCATCATCAAGACCTG